TAACCGCTTATACACCGGACCCCATATCTTTTCTTCTGTTGGAGCTATAATCATAATATTGGTGTCAAAGTGCACATTTTTGGGGTCTAGGAACTCAATTAAATAGGTTTCAATGCAAAAAAAACAATGCTTCATTAATTACCATGACAGTGGGAGGTAAAATATGCTAATTTCATGAAAAAATGTAAGTTTTGACAGGGTAAATTACCGCCCCCCCCCCCCACCCCTCCCCCTAAACTGAGATCTACTGTTCCTTTGGCATGGAAGTACCTTAGGGCCATAGGAAACATTTTATCCAAAGAGACAAGTTAGATCACCCTTCAAATTTTTTAAATAGCCATTTTAAAAATGGCTGCCGACAATAACCGCTTATACACCGGACCCCATATCTTTTCTTCTGTTGGAGCTATAATCATAATATTGGTGTCAAAGTGCACATTTTTGGGGTCTAGGAATTCAATTTAATAGGTTTCAATGTAAAAAACCCAATGCTTCATTAAATACCATGACAATGGGGGGTAAAATATGCTAATTTCATTATAAAATGTACGTTTTGACAGGGTAACTTACCCCCCCACCCCTCCCCCTAAACTGAGATCTACTGTTCCTTTGGCATGGAAGTACCTTAGGGCCATAGGAAATAAATTATCCAAAAAGACAAGTTAGATCACCCTTCAATTTTTTTTAATAGCCATTTTAAAAATGGCTGCCGACAATAAACCGCTAATACACCAGACCCCATATCTTTTCTTCTGTTGGAGCTATAATCATAATATTGGTGTCAAAGTGCACATTTTTGGGGTCTAGGAATTTAATTAAATAGGTTTCAATGTAAAAAAACCCAATGCTTCATTAAATACCATGACAATGGGGGGTAAATATGCTAATTTCATTATAAAATGTACGTTTTGACAGGGTAACTTACCCCCCCACCCCTCCCCCTAAACTGAGTTTTACTGTTCCTTTGGCATGGAAGTACCTTAGGGCCATAGGAAACATTTTATCCAAAAAGACAGGTCAACCATGTCTGTAGTCATTTGAAAAGGGAGAAGCTACTGAATCGATTGGCATCAGTCTTTCCAAAGACTACATTTCCCAGCTTTGCAAAAAGCCGGGCGTAAACTGTTCGTAATCTGTGCGCTTTTAGGTGCAGTGCCCCACAGATGAAGGCAGGATGCTGCATCGCACACTGATCACTCGGGACTCTCCTGTAAACTTTCTCCACCACTTATAAAACTTCTCTTGAGAATCTCTCGAGTATCTTCTGTATTAAATAGGAAAGTAATACAAACCTCAAACTGAACCTCAAATTGTCTCAGATTTTCTGTCACCTCTGATTTCATCCAGCTGTCACAGACCCTGGTATAGAATTCATGTTTTGTGGCAGCGCGGGGTTCGGAGGGTGGCGAACCCTGCGCAGTTGTATTTTCGTCTGGCGGAGCCCGGCGTAAGGCCAGTTTGGTATTTTCGTGGACTGAAGCGCACAGAGGCGAACCGAGATCCGCCAAGCTGGGCGTGGTAGGGGGAGGTGTTGACAGAATCAGCGGGCGCAGTGACATTTTTGTGCTCGCCAGTGGCGTGTAAAGTGCGCTGAAAGCTCGCCGATTTAAACCTGGTCAGCTTTCAGCGCAAGCGAAACGCAGCTGGTCTAGAGGTATTTTGGTAGACCGGCAGCGTATCGGCATATGTCACCGATGCCTCACCGGCAGGTTTCCACAGTGTCAGGAACATTTCAGTGCAATAAATAATCATCAAAAACTAATAATCTGAGTCTAAACATACATTTAGATCTATATCGATATATTCTGATCTATATCTGCTCTGGCACACAACCTGACCGAATCAACACAGCTGAAACCGCATTAAATTAAATATCTAGTAAAAAACACACATGATGAAGTTAACAAGATATGTGATTCGTCTCCCTCCTTTTCTTTCTTCCTCTTATTTCTCGCGCAGCTCAACCTGGACATGTCTCTGTGTCCTCTCTCCGTCCTGCTGCAGCTGCTGCTGCAATGGCTGAACAGATGATTTGTTTCAGTGATCAGATGAGTCATTTACTTTAAGCCTACATGCGGATATTATAATATCAGTTTTGTGAGCCAAATTTATTATATATGCCAACATCTATGAAAGAAAGAGCCAGGCCACTGAGCGCAATGAGTCATTAATGCACAGATGGTTCTGATTTTAATGCCATTTTTGGAGTTAATGTTGTGATCTGTGCGCTCAACCCACCTTTGTTACGTGAGGTTTGAATATATGCAACTTTATGTGAGTGTCTTTATTTGTGGAAAAGGGTGTTTGTCTTACCAGTGGGTCAAACATTACACACACCAAATCCATCTGTGCTCAGATGAGAGAGTGTGGAGGACGCCCAATGCAGCGCTTACAGTGACACTTGTTGAGGAGCTGCCTTCTGTCACCATCGTGTGGCATAACTGTCTTCAGACATCTCTTGATCTCTTTAACTACTTCCCGAAAATTGTACTATGCCTCGCCAGTGGTGGATTAAAGGCAAGGAGAGGAGCTTATGTGATTGGTGAAAAAAGGTCTGGGCTGTGTTAAACCCAGGGGTGGGGGGTAAGTTACCCTGTTAAAACGTACATTTTATAATGAAATTTGCATATTTTACCCCCCACTGTCATGGTATTTAATGATGCATTGGGTTTTTTTGCATTGAAACCTATTTCATTGAGTTCCTAGACCCCAAAAATGTGCACTTTGACACCAATGTTATGATTATAGCTCCAACAGAAGAAAAGATATGGGGTCCGGTGTATAAGCGGTTATTGTCGGCAGCCATTTTTAAAATGGCTATTAAAAAAAATTAAAGGGTGATCTAACTTGTCTCTTTGGATAAAATGTTTCCTATGGTCCTAAGGTACTTCCATGCCAAAGGACAGTAAATCTCAGTCTAGGGGGAGGGGTGGGGGGTAAGTTACCCTGTTAAAACGTACAATTTTTCATGAAATTTGCATATTTTACCCCCCGCTGTCATGGTATTTGATGAAGCATTGGGTTTTTTACATTGAAACCTATTTAATTGAGTTCCTAGACCCCAAAATGTGTACTTTGACACCAATCTTATGATTATAGCTCCAACAGAAGAAAAGATATGGGGTCCGGTGTATTAGCGGTTTATTGTCGGCAGCCATTTTTAAAATGTCTATAAAATAATTGAAGGGTGATCTAACTTGTCTCTTTGGATAAAATGTTTCCTATGACCCTAAGGTACTTCCATGCCAAAGGAAAAGTAAATCTCAGTTTAGGGGGAGGGGTGGGGGAGTAAGTTACCCTGTCAAAACGTACAATTTTTCATGAAATTAGCATATTTTACCCCCCACTGTCATGGTATTTAATGATGCATTGGGTTTTTTACATTGAAACCTATTTAATTGAGTTCCTAGACCCCAAAAATGTGCACTTTGACATCAATATTATGATTATAGCTCCAACAGAAGAAAAGATATGGGGTCCGGTGTATTAGCGGTTTATTGTCGGCGGCCATTTTTAAAATGGCTATTAAAAAAAATTGAAGGGTGATCTAACTTGTCTCTTTGGATAAAATGTTTCCTATGGCCCTAAGGTACTTCCATGCCAAAGGAACAGTAAATCTCAGTTTAGGGGGAGGGGTGGGGGGGCTAATTAGCCTGTCAAAAAAGTACATTTTTTCATGAAATTTGCATATTTTACCCCCCGTTGTCATGGTAATTAATGATGCATCGGGTTTTTTACATTGAAACCTATTTAATTGAATTCCTAGACCCCAAAAATGTTCACTTTGACACCAATATTATGATTATAGCTCTAACAGAAGCAAAGATACGGGGTCTGGTGTATTGGCGGTTTATTGTCGGCCGCCATTTTTAAAATGGCGATAAAAAAAAATTGAAGGGTGATCTAACTTGTCTCTTTGGATAAAATGTTTTCTATGACCCTAAGGTACTTCCATACCAAAGGGGACATTTGTTGCATGACTTGAAGTAAAATGTGTCTTAGGCCCCCAACTATTACCTTTAAAAACAAACAAAGGGGTTTCTGTGAGGAATACACATTTTTTAAAAACAGAATAAGGCTGCATGCCAGTCTTTCATGCACTCGCATCCATGACAGCCTGGCATGCATAGTATCGACACTACTTCTGACAGGACATTGAAGTGCTAGCCTTGTCGATCTGTTTTGAGCAAACTGAAGTTTACAAAGTTGTTGCTTCGATGCACTGGACCAGATAACAGGGCAGTAATCCGGGTTTGACAGAACTAGAGATTGTATAACTAATCCAATTGTTTTATTAGTTAGCAGATGAGCACTCCTTCTAATGGCATAGATGCGATTACTCATTCTGGCCACTGTGTTATTTATCTGAGTGGACCATGACAGTGTCTCGTCAATAGTAACACCCAATAATTTCACTTCTTTAACCTGCTCAATGGTGGCACCAAAGTGATGAGACATCTGCCACAATACACCACCAGATTACAAGCAAGTTAAAAGAAAATGGCCTGGAACTGGACATGATTTCAGCATACACTGCTGATAATGCTAGTGTAAATTATGGGAGAAATAATTCAGTGTACCAGAAACTAAAGGCAGATAACAGTGTCATTGTCAAGGCAAACTGCATGGCCCATGTAGTACACAACTGTGCAAAGAATGCAGGAGACAGGCTGAACATTGACATTGATTCTGTAGTGAACAAAATATTCAGTCACTTTTCTGTATCTGCACACCATATAGAAGCACTGAAGTCAGTGTTTGTCTTTGTGGAGGAGGAGTATCATGCTGTTAGGAGACATGTACCCACAAGATGGCTGAGCCTGTGGCCTGCTGTCAAGAGGCTACATAACAGCTGGGCAGCTATCGAGAGCTAGTTTGTATCACTGGGAGAGAATCAGTGCCCAAAAGCACTGTGGCAGCTGATTAAAAAGGATCAGGATGGTGAGGGGCAACCTCTTCAGCTACAGGTCTACCTGTCCTTCCTCAATAATGTGCTGAAGATGTTCCATGAAGTTGTTCTGCAGTTGGAGGGACAGGATGGGACTGTCTGTGAGCTATATGACATAATGTTCACTCTCAAGACAAAGCTCCAACAACGACAAACTGATTCCTTCTTTGGAATGGAGGCCAGTGAACTCCTCCAACAGTTCCCAGACCGAGAGGCAGCAACAATCAAAAAAGATCTCTCCAACTTCTACACTGCTGCACTCACCTATCTGGAAAAGTGGTATGACTTCACAGAGAACAACTACCAGAAAAATGTTTCATGCTTGGCACTGAAGAGCAGGTTCACATTCTCCCAGCTGAGTGATGTGGTGGAGGCCCTACAGATCAGAGGGAAACTGGACATGGATGACCTGTATGATGAGTACTGTGTGACTCTGCCATGCCAGCAGGAAATTGTGGAAAAAAAGGCTCCTGTTCTGGAGAAGTGGTCCATCTTGCTTAAAGGCACAAACACACCAAATCTGACTGCTGTTGCATCCTTCATCTTCAGCATCCCCATCACCAGTGCTCCAGTAGAGAGAGTGTTTTCTCTCATGACTGCTGCTTGGACTGACCAGAGGAACCGTTGCTCGGTGGAGCTTATCAAAAGTCAAGACCAACTTTGAATACGGTTGTACAGAGTTCTACCGCTATGTTATAAAGCAGAAGGCCTTGTTGGAAGCAGCTTGCTCTAGCAGAAAATATAAGCCCAAGAAGAACATCTAAGGTAAGATAAACCACAATGTCTCCACTCACCTCTCCACACAGGTGCGATGGCTGCCTTAAGAAATCACGGTCCATAGCACAACTCGAGCGCCGTATCTCCGACCTTCACTGGATCCGAAATGAAGAAAAGCTCTTGGACTCAGTGATCACGTTCGGCGCCGGTCCGCCTGTTAAGTCCGAGCTAGACTCCACCATCCCGGTCTGGGATGCTGGCTCACCGGCCGCCTCCGTCTGTCAGCCTTCCCCTGGCCCCGCGATACTCCGGCCTCAACCGGACCGGCAGCCTCGGGCCCACCACATCTCCAACCCGATGACCGCTGGCTACTGCTGGGTGCAAAGCCCAAACGCGTGCCTGCTGCTGCTTCAGACTTTACACCACACCCGGGGCACAGAGTGTGTAGTTCCAGCCCGCAGCAGGCGCCCTGGTCCTCCGTTCCAGCGAGGAAGGCCGGCGGGACCAGTCCACAACTCCCCGGTGAGCTCCAGCTGTCCAACCACTACCCCGTCCCAGCCCGATAGGATCAAGGTAACACCAGCGCCTCCACGTCCTCCCCCCCCCCCCCACCTTAATTGTGGGTGACTCCACAATTAAGCAGGTCCGCTTTTTTAACGCCGTCACCCGCTGCCTCCCAGGTGCTACTGTACCGGTCATTTTAAACGAACTCCCGGGGCTCTTGCGCTCCCTGCCCGCTACAGTCAGCAAGGTTATTGTCCATGTAGGATGCAATGACACTGCTCGCAAGCAGTCCGAGCTCTTAAAAATTGATTTTAGAGACCTGCTCAGTCTCCTGCGCACCACGGGGAAGGCCGTCTTCATCTCCGGCCCAATCCCGACACTGGCCCGGGGAGCAGAGCGGTTCAGCGGTTCGCTGCTAATTTGCAGCACTCGGTGCAATCTGCCACACATGATTGACTATTGTTTACCCCACACACCTCTCCACCTACACCTTCCGCGGCAGCGTACAGTGCTACTTCACTCAACACTGCCCCCTATGGACCTACTGTTCACATCCACGACCACACTGTTCAATATCCCATCCCAGTACACATCAGTTCATGTCATCACTCCCATCAATACAAGCCCGCCTCTGCGGGTCCACGGCCCCGGGTGCCTCTGAGGGACTGCTCGGGGCCCCGGACTTGCGGCGACAGCGGGGTGCGCTCATCCGGTGGGGTCATTAATTTGGCCATGCTAAACGTGCGTTCTCTTTTGAACAAGACTTTTATAATGAATGACCTGATTATAGACAGCAAACTTGATATTTTATTGCTCACAGAAACATGGCTTGGTACCGAGGCAGGGGTTTCCCTCTCTGAGGCCTGTCCACCTAATTTTAACTTTTTATTTTCCACCAGGGAAGGCAGGGGAGTCGGGACTGCATCTTTTATCTTGAAGTCGCTTAATTCTTGTGAAGTTTCTTTTAACAGTTATACATCATTTGAATACAATGCATTTGTTTTTAGCAGTCCCCCTATACTATGTATTACTATCTATAGGCCACCTTGTCATCCCAAGGTTTTTATCAGTGAATTTTCAGAACTTCTCTCAGTCATACACTCTACCTTGTCAGGATTTTAATAGCTGGTGATTTTAACTTACATGTTGACAACAGTTCGGATGCAATGTCCAGAGAATTTTTAAATATTTTAGATTGCATGGATTTTAACCAACACGTTGCCCAGCCAACTCACAACAGAGGACACACTCTGGACCTGGTCATAAGTTATGGCCTGTCCACTGGTGTGTCCTCTGTTGTTGACCTAGCGGTGTCTGACCACTACTGCGTGTTTTTTAATATCACCAGTTTTAGCCATCGAGAGACCTCAGTGGGAACGGTGAGGAAATGCTTCCTTACTTCTGAAGTGGCTGCAAATTTTATAGAGATTTTACAGAACACTCCTGCTGAAATTTTACCTGCACCTTGTGATTTTATTGTTGATGATTTTAACAACAAATTAAAGACATCACTAGATGCAGTGGCTCCACTTTTAACTAAAACTGTAAGAACTAAGAAAACACAACCGTGGAGAGATGGCAACATCAAGCAACTGAAGAGAAAATGCAGAAGTGCAGAGAGAAGGTGGAGAAAAACCAAATTAACAGTCAACCGGGATCAACTAAAAACCTACAATAACGCAATGAAATTGTCCAGAAGAAATCATTTTTCAAAACTCATTACTGACAATAAAAACAACCCGAGGTTTCTCTTTTCCACTTTTAATCTTTTAACCAGCACCAATTCCAATGTGTCCATGACACCTACAGTGACTTTGCAGACCACTTCAGAAGCAAGATTGATACCATCAGATCCAGTGTTTTAACTCATCAGAATGCTGTTCTTAATACACCTGGATCACTGCTTTTACCCGTGGAGACACTGGAGAGTTTTAGTCTGGTTGATGTGAAGGCCCTTGGTCGAGTATTCCCCCAGGTAAACCCCACAACCTGCCTTTTAGATCCAATTCCCACATCCCGCTTTTAAAGACATTTTATGAATTCTTCGAGGAACAGATTTTAAATATAGTGAATTGCTCTCTTCAGACGGGTGTCTTCCCCACTGCCTATAAAATGGCGGTGGTGAAGCCCCTTCTGAAGAAGAGCAATCTAGACCACTAGGGCCCCGTTGGGGCACTGGCGGGCCCGAGCCGTGTCGCGCCGCCCCCAGCGAGACCGCCTCCCCGTCCCATTCGCGTCCACTGGCCGTCGCCCTCTCTGGTAACGCCCATCACTGCAAAGACCCTTTTCCTTCATCGGTGTTTGTTGTTCTTCCTGCCAGTGCGTGTTGCTTTCACTTACACTTGCCACAGCCAGCCTCGTGAGTGCCTAGCCTATTGGATATCACTGTCACCTACACAGGACAGTCATTACCTTTCTATTAATACTTTGTTTTTAATTTCACATTAATTTCCATATTGTATAAATGACTGGAAAAAACTTGAGCCCCTGCCCCTGTATAATCATGTGCACGTCCCTGTTCTAGCTTCAAGGTGAATCTTCACTGCTCATGTTCTCCTCAGAAGCAGTCACCTCACTCCCCTCAGGTTACTGTACACATGCACCAACTGCCTGCTTCAGGTTTGGATGGAGCTTCATGGTTGTCTTTTGGAGAAATGAGCAGTCAAGTTGTGTTTGAAATTTGATTTTTTTCAGGGGCAAAAGGAGCCTCTGTATTCTTGAGACTCTGAGTGTGTGTGTGTGTGTGTGTGTGTGTGTGTGTGTGTGTGTGTGTGTGTGTGTGTGTGTGTCTGTGTGTGTGTGTGTGTGTGTGTGTGTGTGTGTATATCTTGCAGTACTCTGAGAAGAATAATAAGCATATTTCTGAGGTGAATTTTGAAGATTCATCTGAGAGTTAGGAGGGCTGATCATTCCCTTACCCTTTAGATGTCTGTCTATGTCTGTTTTTGTGTGATAATGAAATAATCCCAACTCAAAAAGGCTCTGTTGATATTTTTTTTTTGTTGTTCATTCATATTCAAACCACTATTTTATATCACTGCTAATACGCCAAGACCATTTTATGGTATTTAGCTTTATTATTTCTATACATTTTGCAAGGAAAGAAACCAAGCCCTTCACTAAAATTTCCATAAACTTTGGGAAAGGACCTCTGGTTGTTTAAGGGGGTCATTACTGCAAAAACATATTCTTCCTAAATTTTGAAGGTCAAAGCTTAGATCCATGAGGTTTAAATAGAAAAAGTATTAAAATATGTTAGGATTATAGCATATGACAAATGTGTGCCTCTCAGTGGCCATAACTACTTTGTCTGCTGGCTCTGCAGTCGATTGACGCTCCCCAGCGTTCAAGTCACATGACATATTTAACCGGATGTAGCTGCAAGACGGAGCCTCGTTCACCCTCCGTTTCAACTTATCTCAAAAGTGAGGACCTCAAACTATATACCAGTTTTTAAATTGTGTTGATAGGCCAAATAAAACCAGAGTTATGATAAATTATGTCCGTGATACTTTTTTTCTGCTTATTTGATCACGTTCGACGCTCGATCGCGCTGTATGAGACAGAAAAACATAGCATGCAGACATTAGCGACAGCTCTTACAGGCGGAAAAGGCTTGCCAAAGAAAAAAAACAACACACCACAACATCTCTCCCATTGGTGGAAAACTTCACCACAACAACCAATCCAAAATTATATGGTGACTGATTGACAAGGGGCGGGCGCTTACGTTCTTCCTGCAATATGAGAAGGGAGGGAGGGACTCTCAGCAGGGATGCAGTCTGGGACACGTAGTTGCAAACCTAGCGACTTTGTTGTTAGATTCAATGACTTTTCAGACCCCCTAACGACTTTTTTTTTAGAAAGAAAGGGAATTTTATCGACTTCTTCTGGAGTTTAGAGACTCTGACATGAAGCAGGCTTTCCTTACTGAGGAGTTGGCAACGCTGCTAAGGGTGCAGAGCCACACATGCGCTCTGAGCTCTGCATGGGAGACTGAAGCTGACAGAGCTGCAGCAGTTAGCAGGTTTCACCCTCAGAGACCACCAGGGGTTCATGTTGAGGCATTTTCAGTTTTTTTTTTTTTTTTTTGCCATAGACACTGTCAGCACAATCTGCAGTTACACTAACAAAAATGCTGCAAAAAACAAAGAATTATGGAAAAATTACACATGGACTAACATAGAGGAGGAGCTACACAAGTTTTTTACATCATGTTTTACATCATGCATCATTTACATCATGTTTTTTTGTAGTGGCATAAATAAAAAGTGACATTTGTGAGACTATACAGTGTTTTGTAAATAATTTTACAAAGAACGCCTGGGCCATTGCCTGCATTTTGATGTAAATAGGGGTAAATTACTATGTTCTTTGTTAAAAATTTGCATATGTTTTGAAGTTTACAATTTTATTTGAAGTTTAAGTTTTAAAAACAGTTCATCACACATATTTGTGGTTTTCACAGGAAAAATGTTACTTTTTTCCACTCGGATTTTATGTTTTGTGTGTGAATTTGGGTCCATTGTGTAAATACAGTATGTCAAAATGATAAAATAACTGTAAATTCACACAGGTGAGGTTGTGCTCTAGGCGCCCCCTAGAACATAAACCGTGGGGTGCAGCGTCATGATTTTTACAACTTTGAATAGCCATGGGGTGTAGATTGGCCTGAGCAAATTTGGTGTCAGTGGGACGAAAGCCTTAGGAGGAGTTAGCCACATTCCAATGTGTGCGAATCGGCAAAAAATGCAAAATAGCCCTTTTATCGTACATTTGACAGATACGCACACATTGACTTTTTCGTAGATCTTATTGAGATACACGTGATGGTCAAATTTTGTGTCAATATGACAAAGCGTACAGGCGTGACACTCAACAATGTGTATTTTCACCTTAGGGGACAAGAAAAAATTGACTTTTTTCTCCTGCCGTGGGGGGGCGCTCTTTTGGGGAGTAAAAATTCCTTCACAAATGTGTTAATTGCTGGACATTGCATCATCCTACAAAACTTGGAGGCCAGTGAGGACAAAAATAAAAAGTTATAAGACTTTTAAGAATGTGGATTTTTGGGTTATCTTTGGCGCCCCCTAGAACCTAAACCGTGGGGGGCAGCGTCATGATTTGAATAACTTTTTAATGGCCATGGGGTGTAGATTGGCCTGAGAAAATTTGGTGGCGGTGGAACTAAAGCCTTCGGATGAGTTAGCGAAATTCCAATGTGTGCGGATCGGGAAAAAATGCGAAATAACCCTTTAACCGTACATTTTACAGATACGTGCCCATTGACTTTTTCGTAGATCTTATTGAGATACACGTGTATGTCAAATTTTGGGTCAATATGACAAAGCGTATAGGCGTGACACTCAACAATGTGTATTTTCACCTTAGGGGACAAGAAAAAATGGACTTTTTTCTCCTGCCATGTGGGGGCGCTCTTTTGGGGAGTAAAAATTCCTTCACAAATGTGTTGACGGCTGGACATTGCATCATCCTAGAAAACTTGGAGGCCAGTGGGGACAAAAATAAAAAGTTATAAGACTTTTAAATATGTGGATTTTAGGGTTATCTTTGGCGCCCCCTAGAACCTAAACCGTGGGGTGCAGCGTCATGATTTGAATAACTTTTAATGGCCATGGGGTGTAGATTGACCTGAGCAAATGTTGTGCCAATGGAACGAAAGTCTTCAGAGGAGTTAGCGAAATTCCGATGTGTGTGGATCGGCAAAAAATGCGAAATAACCCTTTAACCGTAAATTTGACAGAAAGGCCCGCACTGACTTTTTTGTAGATCTTATTGAGATACATGTGTGTGTCAATTTTTGTGTCAATATGACAAAGCGTACAGCCGTGACAATCAATAGTGTGAATTTTCATCTTAGGGGGCGCTATGGAGCCATTTTGCATTTTATTGTTTGGGCGACTTCAGAATATCAAATTTTTCACCAGGCCCGGTCGTCCTGCCAAATTTCATGAGTTTTCGCCAGTGGGAAGTGGGCCATTTTCCAGTTCAAAGGGGAGGAAAAAGAAACTAGGGCCCCGGTGGGGCACTGTCGGGCCCGAGCCGCGTCGCGCCGCCCCCCAGTGCGACCACCTCCCCCTCCCGATCGCGTCACACTCAAGGTCCAAAGATGGTGTGCGCACTTGTCTGTGGTCATTTCCCATTATAATGAATGGGAGGCGCAGTTTCTACCAAAACGGTCGCTGCAGACAAACTACACGTCCTATTTGAAAAAAGTCTGGACCATGAGTGAGGGCACAAACACAGCTAGGATATATCCAAATGGCAGGTTGCTCCTCCTTACGGTGTTGCCTGGAGAGCGATGCGATTGAGTCATTGAGCGATGGGCAGGAAAAACTTGACTTTTTCTCCTGCCATGGGGGGGGGGGGGGGGGGGGGATGTGGATTCTTTTAAGAATGTGGATTTTTGGGTCATCTTTGGCGCCCCCTAGAACCTAAACCGTGGGGTGCAGCGTCATGATTTGAATAACTTTTAATGGCCATGGGGTGTAGATTGACCTGAGCAAATGTTGTGCTGATGGAACGAAAGCCTTCAGAGGAGTTAGCGAAATTCCGATGTGTGTGGATCGGCAAAAAATGCGAAATAACCCTTTAACCGTACATTTTACAGATACGCGCGCATTGACTTTTTCGTAGATCATATTGAGATACACGTGATTGTCAAATTTTGTGTCAATATGACAAAGCATGCAGGTGTCACACTCAACAATGTGAATTTTCACCTTAGGCGACAAGAAAAAATGGACTTTTTTCTCCTGCCATGTGGGGGCGCTCTTTTGGGGAGTAAAAATTCCTTCACAAATGTGTTGATGGCTGGACATTGCATCATCCTAGAAAACTTGGAGGCCAGTGGGGACAAAAATAAAAAGTTATAAGACTTTTAAATATGTGGATTTTTGGGTTATCTTTGGCGCCCCCTAGAACCTAAACCGTGGGGTGCAGCGTCATGATTTGAATAACTTTTAATAGCCATGGGGTGTAGATTGACCTGAGCAAATGTTGTGCTGATGGAACGAAAGCCTTCAGAGGAGTTAGCGAAATTCCGAGGTGTGTGGATCGGCAAAAAATGCGAAATAACCCTTTAACCGTAAATTTGACAGAAAGGCCTGCACTGACTTTTTTGTAGATCTTTTGAGATACATGTGTGTGTCAATTTTTGTGTCAATATGACAAAGCGTACAGCTGTGACAATCAATAGTGTGAATAGTGTGAGCCATTGAGCGATGGGCAGGAAAAACTTGACTTTTTCTCCTGCCATGGGGGGGCGCTCTTTTGGGGAGTAAAAATTCCTTCACAAATGTGTTGATGGCTAGACATTGCATCATCCTAGAAAACTTGGAAGCCAGTGAGGACAAAAATGAAAAGTTATAAGACTTTTCATAATGTGGATTTTTGGGTTATCTTTGGTGCCCCCTAGAACGTAAACCGTGGGGTGCAGCGTCATGATTTGTACAACTTTTAATGGCCATGGGGTGTAGATTGGCCTGAGCAAATTTGGTGCCGGTGGAACGAAAGCTTTAGGAGGAGTTAGCTACATTCCAATGTGTGCGAATCGATCAAAAATGCGTAATAGCCCTTTAACCGTACATTTTACAGATACATGCGCATTGACTTTTTCGTAGATCTTATTGAGATACACGTGATTGTCAAATTTTGTTTCAATATGACAAAGTGTACAGGCGTGACACTCAACAATGTGTATTTTCACCTTATGGGACAAGAAAAAATGGACTTTTTTCTCCTGCCAAGGGGGGGCGCTCTTTTGGGGAGTAAAAATTCCTTCACAAATGTGTTGATGGCTGGACATTGCATCATCCTAGAAAACTTGGAGGCCAGTGAGGACAAAAATAAAAAGTTATAAGACTTTTAAGACTGTGGATTTTTGGGTTATATTTGGCGCCCCCTAGAACGTAAACCGTGGGGTGCAGCGTCATGATTTGTACAACTTTTAATGGCCATGGGGTGTAGATTGGCCTGAGCAAATTTGGTGCCGGTGGAACGAAAGCCTTCGGAGGAGTTAGCGAAATTCCACTGTGTGCGGATCGGCAAAAAATGCGAAATAGCCCTTTAACCATACATTTGACAGATACGCCCGCACTGACTTTTTTGTAGATCTTATTGAGATACACGTGTGTGTCAAATTTTGTGTCATTTTGACAAAGCGTACAGGTGTGACACTCAATCAAGTGAATTTTTCACCTTAGGGGGCGCTATGGAGCCATTTTGCATTTGATTGTTTGGCCGACTTCAGAATATCGAATTTTTCACCAGGCCCGGTCGTCCTGCCAAATTTCATGAGTTTTCACCATTGGGAAGTGGGCCATTTTCCAGTTCAAAGGGGCAGAAAAATAACTAGGGCCCCGGTGGGGCACTGTCGGGCCCGAGCCGCGTCGCGCCGCCCCCAGCGCCACCGCCTCCCCCTCCCGATCACGTCACACCCAAGGTCCAAAGATGGTGTGCACTCTTGTCTGTGGTCATTTCCCATTATAATGAATGGGAGGCGCAGTTTCTACCAAAACGGTCGCTGCAGACAAACTACATGTCCTATTTGAAAAAAGTCTGGACCATGAGTGAGGGCACAAACACAGCTAGGATATATCCAAATGGCAAGTTGCTCCTCCTTACGGTGTTGCCGGGAGAGCGAGGCGATTGAGCCATTGAGCGATGGGCAGGGTTAACTTGACTTTTTCTCCTGCCTTGGGGGGGGGGGGGGGGGGGATGTGGATTCTATTAAGAATGTGGATATTTGGGTCATCTTTGGCGCCCCCTAGAACGTAAACCGTGGGGTGCAGCGTCATGATTTTTACAACTTTGAATGGCCATGGGATGTAGATCGGCTTGAGCAAATTTGGTGTCGGTGGGACGAAAGCCTTAGGAGGAGTTAGCCACATTCCAATGTGTGCGAATCGGCAAACAATGCGAAGTAGCCCTTTAACCGTACATTTTACAGATACGTGCCCATTGACTTTTTCGTAGATCTTATTGAGATACACATGATTGTCAATTTTTGTGTCATTTTGACAAAGCGTATAGGCGTGACATTCAACAATGTGTTTTTTCACCTTAGGGGACAAGAAAAAATGGACTTTTTTCTCCTGCCATGGGGGGGCGCTCTTTTGGGGAGTAAAAATTCCTTCACAAATGTGTTGATGGCTGGACATTGCATTATCCTAGAAAACTTGGAGGCCAGTGAGGACAAAAATAAAAAGTTATAAGACTTTTAAATATGTGGATTTTAGTGTTATCTTTGGCGCCCCCTAGAACCTAAACCTTGGGGTGCAGCGTCATGATTTTGATAACTTTTAATGGCCACGGGGTGTAGATTGGCCTGAGCAAATGTGGTGCCGGTGGAACGAAAGCCTTCGGAGGAGTTAGCGAAATTCCAATGTGTGCGGATCGGCAAAAAATGCGAAATAACCCTTTAACCGTACATTTGACAGATACGGCCGCACTGACTTTTTTGTAGATCTTATTGAGATACATGTGTGTGTCAATTTTTGTGTCAATATGACAAAGCGCACAGGCGTGACAGTCAATAGTGTGAATTTTCACCTTAGGGGGTGCTATGGAGCCATTTTGCATTTTATTGTTTGGGCGACTTCAGAATATCGAATTTTTCACCAGGCCCGGTCGTCCTGTCAAATTTCATGAGTTTTCGCCAGTGGGAAGTGGGCCATTTTCCCCTTCAAAGGGGAGGAAAAATAAGAAGAAAGAAAGAAAGAAAGAACTAGGGCCCCGTTGGGGCACTGGCGGGCCCGAGCCGTGTCGCGCCGCCCCCAGCGCGACCGCCTACCCCTCCCGATCGCGTCACACTCAAGGTCCAAAGATGGTGTGCGCACTTGTCTGTGGTCATTTACCATTATAATGAATGGGAGGCGCAGTTTCTACCAAAACGCTCGCTGCAGACAAACTCCATGTCCTTTTTGAAAAAAGTCTGGACCATGAGTGAGGGCACAAACACAGCTAGTATATATCCAAATGGCAAGTTGCTCCTCCTTTCCGTTTTGCCGAGAAAGCGATGCGCTTGAGCCATTGAGCGATGGGCAGGAAAAACTTGACTTTTTCTCCTGCCATGGGGAGGCGCTCTTTTGGGGAGTAAAAATTCCCTCACAAATGTGTTGATGGCTGGACATTGCATCATCCTAGAAAACTTGGAGGCCAGTGAGGACAAAAATAAAGAGTTATAAGACTTCTAAAAATGTGGATATTTGGGGCCTCTTTGGCGCCCCCTTGAACGTAAACCGTGGGGTGCAGCGTCATGATTTGTACAACTTTGAATGGCCATGGGGTGTAGATTGACCTGAGCAAATTTGGTGTCAGTGGGATGAAAGCCTTAGGAGGAGTTAGCCACATTCCAATGTGTGCGAATCGGCAAAAAATGCAAAATAGCCCTTTAACCGTACATTGAACAGATACGCTCGCATTGACTTTTTCATAGATCGTATTGAGATACATGTGTGTGTCAATTTTTGTGTCATTTTGGCAAAGCGTAAAGGCGTGACAGTCAACAATGTGTATTTTCGCCTTAGGAGACAAGAAAAATGGACTTTTTTCTCCTGCCATTGGGGGGCGCTCTTTTGGGGAGTAAAAATTCCTTCACAAATGTGTTGATGGCTGGACATTGCATCATCCTAGAGAACTTGGAGGCCAGTGAGGACAAAAATAAAAAGTTATAAGACTTTTTAGACTGTGGATTTTTGGGTTATCTTTGGCGCCCTCTAGAACGTAAACCGTGGGGTGCAGCGTCATGATTTGTACAACTTTTAATGGCCATGGGGTGTAGATTGGCCTGAGCAAATGTGGTGCCGTTGGAACGAAAGCCTTCGGAGGAGTTAGCGAAATTCCAATGTGTGCGGATCGGCAAAAAATGCGAAATAACCCTTTAACCGTACATTTGACAGATACGCCCGCACTGACTTTTTTGTAGATCTTATTGAGATACATGTGTGTGTCAATTTTTGTGTCAATATGACAAAGCGTAAAGGCGTGACAGTCAATAGTGTGAATTTTCACCTTAGGGGGCGCTATGGAGCCATTTTGCATTTTATTGTTTGGGCGACTTCAGAATATCGAATTTTTCACCAGGCCCGGTCGTCCTGCCAAATTTCATGAGTTTTCGCCAGTGGGAAGTGGGCCATTTTCCAGTTTAAAGCGGAGGAAAAATAATGATAATAATAATAACTAGGGCCCCGTTGGGGCACTGGCGGGCCCGAGCCGTGTCGCACCCCCCCTCCCCAACGCGCTGCCTCCCCGTCCCATTCGCGTCCTCTGGCCATCGCCCTCTCTGGTAACGCCCATCACTGCAAAGACCCTTTTCCTTCATCGGCGTTTGCTGTTCTTCCTGCCAGTGCGTGTTGCTTTCACTTACACTTGCCACAGCCAGCCTCGTGAGTGCCTAGCCTATTGGATATCACTGTCACCTACACAGGACAGTCATACTTTGTTTTTTAATTTCACATTAATTTCCTTATTGTATAAACGACTGGAAAAAACTTGAGCCCCTGCCCCTGTATAATCATGTGCACGTCCCTGTTCTAGCTCCAAGGTGAATCTTCACTGCTCATGTTCTCCTCAGAAGCAGTCACCTCACTCCCCTCAGGTTACTGTACACATGCACCAACTGCCTGCTTCAGGTTTGGATGGAGCTTCATGGTTGTCTTTTGGAGAAATGAGCAGTCAAGTTGTGTTTGAAATTTGATTTTTTTCAGGGGCAAAAGGAAGCCTCTGCATTCTTGTCAAATATGTAAATAGCATGTTTTTGCAGGTGCTAAAAAACAGACTCTGAGTGTGTGTGTGTGTGTGTGTGTGTGCGTGTGTGTGTGTGTGTGTGTGTCTGTGTGTGTGTGTGTGTGTACCTGCAGTACTCTGAGAAGAATAATAAGCATATTTCTGAGGTGAATTTTGAAGATTCATCTGAGAGTTAGGTTTGATTCGATTCGATTGACGCTCCCCAGCGTTCAAGTCACATGACATATTTAACCGGATGTAGCTGCAAGACGGAGCCTCGTTACCTCTCCGTTTCAACTTATCTCAAAAGTGAGGACCTCAACCTATATACCAGTTTTTAAATTGTGTTGATAGGCCAAATAAAACCAGAGTTATGATAAATTATGTCCGCGATACTTTTTTTCTGCTTATTTTGATCACGTTCGGCGCTCGATCGCGCTGTATGAGACAGGAAAACATAGCATGCACACATTAGCGACAGGTCTTACAGGCGGAAAAGGCTTGCCAAAAGAAAAAAAAACACACCACAACATCTCTCCTATTGGTGGAAAACTTCACCACAACAACCAATCCAAAATTATATGGTGACTGATTGACAAGGGGCGGGCGCTTACGTTCTTCCTGCAACATGAGAAGGGAGGGAGGGACTCTCAGCAGGGATGCAGTCTGGGACACGTAGTTGCAAACCTAGCGACTTTGTTGTTAGATTCAATGACTTTTCAGACCCCCTAACGACTTTTTTTAGAAAGAAAGGGACTTTTATCGACTTCTTCTGGAGTTTAGAGACTCTGACATGAAGCAGGCTTTCCTTACTGAGGAGTTAGCAACGCTGCTAAGGGTGCAGAGCCACACATGCGCTCCGAGCTCTGCATGGGAGACTGAAGCTGACAGAGCTGCAGCAGTTAGCAGGTTTCACCCTCAGAGACCACCAGGGGTTCATGTTGAGGCATTTTCAGTGTTTTTTTTTTTTGCCATAGACTGTCAGCACAATCCGCAGTTACACTAACAAAAATGCTGCAAAAAACAAAGAATTATGGAAAAATTACACATGGACTGACATAGAGGAGGATCTACACAAGTTTTTTACATCATGTTTTACATCATGCATCATTTACATCATGTTTTTTTGTAGTGGCATAAATAAAAAGTGACATTTGTGAGACTATACAGTGTTTTGTAAATAATTTTACAAAGAACGCCTGGGCCATTGCCTGCATTTTGATGTAAATAGAGGTAAATTACTATGTTCTATGTTAAAAATTTGCATATGTTTTGAAGTTTACAATTTTTATTTGAAGTTTAAGTTTTAAAAACAGTTCATCACACATATTTGTGGTTTAATTTCACATTAATTTCCATATTGTATAAATGACTGGAAAAAACTTGAGCCCCTGCCCCTGTATAATCATGTGCACGTCCCTGTTCTAGCTCCAAGGTGAATCTTCACTGCTCATGTTCTCCTCAGAAATAGTCACCTCACTCCCCTCAGGTTACTGTACACATGCACCAACTATCTGCTTCAGGTTTGGATGGAGCTTCATGGTTGTCTTTTGGAGAAATGAACAGTCAAGTTGTGTTTGAAATCTGATTTTTTTCAGGGGCAAAAGGAAGCCTCTGCATTCTTGTCAAATATGTAAACAGCATGTTTTTGCAGGTGCTAAAAAACAGACTCTGAGTGTGTGTGTGTGTGTGTGTGTGTGTGTGTGTGTGTGTGTGTGTGTGTGTGTGTGTATATGTGTGTGTATCCTGCAGTACTCTGTACTCCTGCAGTGGCCAAAAAGACTTTTAAGAATGTGGATTTTTGGGTCATCTTTGGCGCCCCCTAGAACTGCAGTACTCTGTACTCCTGCAGTGGCCAAAATGACTTTTAAGAATGTGGATTTTTGGGTCATCTTTGGCGCCCCCTAGAACGTAAACCGTGGGGTGCAGCGTCATGATTTTTACAACTTTGAATGGCCATGGGGTCTAGATTGCCCTGAGCAAATTTGGTATCGGTGGGACGAAAGCCTTAGGAGGAGATAGCCACATTCCAATGTGTGCGAATCGGCAAAAAATGCGAAATAGCCCTTTAACCGTACATTATACAGATACGCGCTTTTTGACTTTTTCGTAGATCTAATTGAGATACACATGATTGTCAATTTTTGTGTCAATATGACAAAGCGTTCAGGCGTGACACTCAACAATGTGTATTTTCATGTAAGGGGACAAGAAAAAATTGACTTTTTTCTCCTGCCATGGGGGGGGCGCTCTTTTGGGGAGTAAAAATTCCTTCACAAATGTGTTGATGGCTGGACATTGCATCATCCTAGAAAACTTGGAGGGCAGTGAGGACAAAAATAAAAAGTTATAAGACTTTTAAGAATGTGGATTTTGGGTTATCTTTGGCGCCCCCTAGAACGTAAACCGTGGGGTGCAGCGTCATGATTTGTACAACTTTTAATGGCCATGGGGGGTAGATTGGCCTGCGCAAATGTGGTGCCGGTCGAACGAAAGCCTTCGGAGGAGTTAGCGAAATTCCAATGTGTGCAGATCTGCAAAAAATGCAAAATAACCCATTAACCGTACATTTGACAGATACGCCCGCACTGACTTTTTTGTAGATCTTATTGAGATACATGTGTGTGTCATTTTTTGTGTCAATATGACAAAGCGTACAGCCGTCATGTGAATTTTCACCTTAGGGGGCGCTATGGAGCCATTTTGCATTTTATTGTTTGGCCGACTTCAGAATATCGAATTTTTCACCAGGCCCGGTCGTCCTGCCAAATTTCCTGAGTTTTCGCCAGTGGGAAGTGGGCCATTTTCCAGTTTAAAGCGGAGGAAAAATAATAACGAAAGAAGGAAACATGCAGGAACAAGAGGGCTCTCGCAGCTGCTTAGCAGCTACGCTCGGGCCCTAACTAGGACCCCGTTGGGGCACTGGCGGGCCCGAGCCGTGTCGCATCCCCCCCCCCCCAACGTGCTGCCTTCCCGTCCCATTTGTGTCCTCTGGCCATCGCCCTCTCTGGTAACGCCCATCACTGCAAAGACCCTTTTCCTTCATCGGCGTTTGCTGTTCTTCCTGCCAGTGCGTGTTGCTTTCACTTACACTTGCCACAGCCAGCCTCGTGAGTGCCTAGCCTTTTGGATATCACTGTCACCTACACAGGACAGTCATTACCTTTCTATTAATACTTTGTGTTTTAATTTCACTTTAATTTCCATTTTGTATAAACGACTGGAAAAAACTTGAGCCCCTGCCCCTGTATAATCATGTGCATGTCTCTGTTCTAGCTCCAAGGTGAATCTTCACTGCTCATGTTCTCCTCAGAAGCACTCACCTCACTCCCCTCAGGTTACTGTACACATGCACCAACTGCCTGCTTCAGGTTTGGATGGAGCTTCATGGTTGTCTTTTGGAGAAATGACCAGTCAAGTTGTGTTTGAAATTTGATTTTTTCAGGGGCAAAAGGAGCCTCTGCATTCTTGTCAAATATGTAAATAGCATGTTTTTGCAGGTGCTAAAAACCAGACTCTGAGTGTGTGTGTGTGTGTGTGTGTGTGTGTGTGTGTGTGTGTGTCTGTGTGTGCGTTCAAGTCACATGACATATTTAACCGGATGTAGCTGCAAGACGGAGCCTCGTTGACTCTCCGTTTCAACTTATCTCAAAAGTGAGGACCTCAACCTATATACCAGTTTTTAAATTGTGTTGATAGGCCAAATAAAACCAGAGTTATGATAAATTATGTCCGCGATACTTTTTTTCTGCTTATTTTGATCACGTTCGGCGCTCGATCGCGCTGTATGAGACAGGAAAACATAGCATGCAGACATTAGCGACAGGTCTTACAGGCGGAAAAGGCTTGCCAAAAGAAAAAAAAAACACACCACAACATCTCTCCTATTGGTGGAAAACTTCACCACAACAACCAATCCAAAATTATATGGTGACTGATTGACAAGGGGCGGGCGCTTACGTTCTTCCTGCAACATGAGAAGGGAGGGAGGGACTCTCAGCAGGGATGCAGTCTGGGACACGTAGTTGCAAACCTAGCGACTTTGTTGTTAGATTCAATGACTTTTCAGACCCCCTAACGACTTTTTTTTAGAAAGAAAGGGACTTTTATCGACTTCTTCTGGAGTTTAGAGACTCTGACATGAAGCAGGCTTTCCTTACTGAGGAGTTAGCAACGCTGCTAAGGGTGCAGAGCCACACATGCGCTCAGAGCTCTGCATGGGAGACTGAAGCTGACAGAGCTGCAGCAGTTAGCAGGTTTCACCCTCAGAGACCACCAGGGGTTCATGTTGAGGCATTTTGAATTTTTTTTTTTTTGTGCCATAGACACTGTCAGCACAATCTGCAGTTACACTAACAAAAATGCTGCAAAAAACAAAGAATTATGGAAAAATTACACATGGACTGACATAGAGGAGGATCTACACAAGTTTTTTACATCATGTTTTACATCATGCATCATTTACATCATGTTTTTTTGTAGTGGCATAAATAAAAAGTGACATTTGTGAGCCTATACAGTGTTTTGTAAATAATTTTACAAAGAACGCCTGGGCCATTGCCTGCATTTTGATGTAAATAGAGGTAAATCACTATGTTCTTTGTTTAAAATTTGCATATGTTTTGAAGTTTACAATTTTTATTTGAAGTTTAAGTTTTAAAAACAGTTCATCACACATATTTGTGGTTTTCACAGTAAAAATGTTACTTTTTTCCACTCGGATTTTATGTTTTGTGTGTGAATTTGGGTCCATTGTGTAAATTCAGTATGTCAACATGATAAAATAACTGTAAATTCGCACAGGTGAGGTTGTGCTGAAAAAAATGATACCAGGCAAGGCACGTGATTGTCAAATTTTGTGTCAATATGACAAAGCGTATAGGCGTGAATCTCAACAATATGTATTTTCACCTTAGGGGACAAGAAAAAATGGACTTTTTTCTCCTGCCATGGGGGGGGCGCTCTTTTGGGGAGTAAAAATTCCTTCACAAATGTGTTGATGGCTGGACATTGCATCATCCTAGAAAACTTGGAGGCCAGTGAGGACAAAAATAAAAAGTTATAAGACTTTTAAATATGTGGATTTTAGGGTTATCTTTGGCCCCCCCTAGAACCTAAACCGTGGGGTGCAGCGTCATGATTTGAATAACTTTTAATGGCCATGGGGTGTAGATTGGCCTGAGCAAATGTGGTGCCGGTGGAACGAAAGCCTTAGGAGGAGTTAGCCACATTCCAATGTGTGCGGATCGGCAAAAAATGCGGAATAACCCTTTAACCGTACATTTGACAGATACGCGCGCATTGACTTTTTCGTAGATCTTATTGAGTTACATGTGTGTGTCAATTTTTGTGTCATTTTGACAAAGCGTATAGGCGTGACACTCAACAATGTGTATTTTTACCTTAGGGGACAAGAAAAAATGGACTTTTTTCTCCTGCCATGGGGGGGCGCTCTTTTGGGGAGTAAAAATTCCTTCACAAATGTGTTGATGGCTGGACATTGCATCATCCTAGAAAACTTGGAGGCCAGTGAGGACAAAAATAAAAAGTTATAAGACTTTTAAATATGTGGATTTTAGTGTTATCTTTGGCGCCCCCTAGAACCTAAACCTTGGGGTGCAGCGTCATGATTTTGATAACTTTTAATGGCCACGGGGTGTAGATTGGCCTGAGCAAATGTGGTGCCGGTGGAACGAAAGCCTTCGGAGGAGTTAGCGAAATTCCAATGTGTGCGGATCGGCAAAAAATGCGGAATAACCCTTTAACCGTACATTTGACAGATACGCGCGCATTGACTTTTTCGTAGATCTTATTGAGTTACATGTGTGTGTCAATTTTTGTGTCACTTTGACAAAGCGTATAGGCGTGACACTCAACAATGTGTATTTTCACCTTAGGGGACAAGAAAAAATGGACTTTTTTCTCCTGCCATGGGGGGGCGCTCTTTTGGGGAGTAAAAATTCCTTCACAAATGTGTTGATGGCTGGACATTGCATCATCCTAGAAAACTTGGAGGCCAGTGAGGACAAAAATAAAAAGTTATAAGACTTTTAAATATGTGGATTTTAGTGTTATCTTTGGCGCCCCCTAGAACCTAAACCTTGGGGTGCAGCGTCATGATTTTGATAACTTTTAATGGCCAAGGGGTGTAGATTGGCCTGAGCAAATGTGGTGCCGGTGGAACGAAAGCCTTCGGAGGAGTTAGCGAAATTCCAATGTGTGCGGATCGGCAAAAAATGCGAAATAACCCTTTAACCGTAATTTTGACAGATACGGCCGCACTGACTTTTTTGTAGATCTTATTGAGATACATATGTGTGTCAATTTTTGTGTCAATATGACAAAGCGTACAGGCGTGACAGTCAATAGTGTGAATTTCCACCTTAGGGGGCGCTATGGAGCCATTTTGCATTTTATTGTTTGGGCGACTTCAGAATATCGAATTTTTCACCAGGCCCGGTCGTCCTGCCAAATTTCATGAGTTTTCGCCAGTGGGAAGTGGGCCATTTTCCAGTTCAAAGGGGAGGAAAAAGAAGAAAGAAAGAAAGAAAGAAAGAAACAAAGAAAAACCACTTGGGGAATAATAGGGCCTACGCCCGGCTGCTCTGCAGCTGGCTCGGGCCCTAACTAGGGCCCCGTTGGGGCACTGGCGGGCCCGAGCCGTGTCGCACCCCCCCCCCCCCCCCAACGCGCTGCCTCCCCGTCCCATTCGTGTCCTCTGGCCATCGCCCTCTCTGGTAACGCCCATCACTGCAAAGACCCTTTTCCTTCATCGGCGTTTGCTGTTCTTCCTGCCAGTGCGTGTTGCTTTCACTTACACTTGCCACAGCCAGCCTCGTGAGTGCCTAGCCTATTGGATATCACTGTCACCTACACAGGACAGTCATACTTTGTTTTTTAATTTCACATTAATTTCCATATTGTATAAACGACTGGAAAAAACTTGAGCCCCTGCCCCTGTATTATCATGTGCACGTCCCTGTTCTAGCTCCAAGGTGAATCTTCACTGCTCATGTTCTCCTCAGAAGCAGTCACCTCACTCCCCTCAGGTTACTGTACACATGCACCAACTGCCTGCTTCAGGTTTGGATGGAGCTTCATGGTTGTCTTTTGGAGAAATGACCAGTCAAGTTGTGTTTGAAATTTGATTTTTTTCAGGGGCAAAAGGAAGCCTCCGCATTCTTGTCAAATATGTAAATAGCATGTTTTTGCAGGTGCTAAAAAACAGACTCTGAGTGTGTGTGTGTGTGTGTGTGTGTGTGTGTGTGTGTGTGTGTGTGTGTGTGTGTGTGTGTGTGTGTGTCTGTGTGTGTGTGTGTGTGTGTATCCTGCAGTACTCTGAGAAGAATAATAAGCATATTTCTGAGGTGAATTTTGAAGATTCATCTGAGAGTTAGGTTTGATTCGATTCGATTGACGCTCCCCAGCGTTCAAGTCACATGACATATTTAACCGGATGTAGCTGCAAGACGGAGCCTCGTTAACTCTCCGTTTCAACTTATCTCAAAAGTGAGGACCTCAACCTATATACCAGTTTTTAAATTGTGTTGATAGGCCAAATAAAACCAGAGTTATGATAAATTATGTCCGCGATACTTTTTTTCTGCTTATTTTGATCACGTTCGGCGCTCGATCGCGCTGTATGAGACAGGAAAACATTGCATGCACACATTAGTGACAGATCATACAGGCGGAAAAGGCTTGCCAAAAGAAAAAAAAAACACACCACAACATCTCTCCTATTGGTGGAAAACTTCACCACAACAACCAATCCAAAATTATATGGTGACTGATTGACAAGGGGCGGGCGCTTACGTTCTTCCTGCAACATGAGAAGGGAGGGAGGGACTCTCAGCAGGGATGCAGTCTGGGACACGTAGTTGCAAACCTAGCGACTTTGTTGTTAGATTCAATTACTTTTCAGACCCCCTAACGACTTTTTTTAGAAAGAAAGGGACTTTTATCGACTTCTTCTGGAGTTTAGAGACTCTGACATGAAGCAGGCTTTCCTTACTGAGGAGTTAGCAACGCTGCTAAGGGTGCAGAGCCACACATGCGCTCCGAGCTCTGCATGGGAGACAGAAGCTGACAGAGCTGCAGCAGTTAGCAGGTTTCACCCTCAGAGACCACCAGGGGTTCATGTTGAGGCATTTTCAGTTTTTTTTTTTTTGCCATAGACAGTCAGCACAATCTGCAGTTACACTAACAAAAATGCTGCAAAAAACAAAGAATTATGGAAAAATTACACATGGACTGACATAGAGGAGGATCTACACAAGTTTTTTACATCATGTTTTACATCATGCATCATTTACATCATGTTTTTTTGTAGTGGCATAAATAAAAAGTGACATTTGTGAGACTATACAGTGTTTTGTAAATAATTTTACAAAGAACGCCTGGGCCATTGCCTGCATTTTGATGTAAATAGAGGTAAATTACTATGTTCTTTGTTAAAAATTTGCATATGTTTTGAAGTTTACAATTTTTATTTGAAGTTTAAGTTTTAAAAACAGTTCATCACACATATTTGTGGTTTAATTTCACATTAATTTCCATATTGTATAAATGACTGGAAAAAACTTGAGCCCCTGCCCCTGTATAATCATGTGCACGTCCCTGTTCTAGCTCCAAGGTGAATCTTCACTGCTCATGTTCTCCTCAGAAATAGTCACCTCACTCTCCTCAGGTTACTGTACACATGCACCAACTATCTGCTTCAGGTTTTGATGGAGCTTCATGGTTGTCTTTTGGAGAAATGAACAGTCAAGTTGTGTTTGAAATCTGATTTTTTTCAGGGGCAAAAGGAAGCCTCTGCATTCTTGTCAAATATGTAAACAGCATGTTTTTGCAGGTGCTAAAAAACAGACTCTGAGTGTGTGTGTGTGTGTGTGTGTGTGTGTGTGTGTGTGTGTGTGTATATGTGTGTGTATCCTGCAGTACTCTGTACTCCTGCAGTGGCCAAAAAGACTTTTAAGAATGTGGATTTTTGGGTCATCTTTGGCGCCCCCTAGAACTGCAGTACTCTGTACTCCTGCAGTGGCCAAAATGACTTTTAAGAATGCTGATTTTTGGGTCATCTTTGGCGCCCCCTAGAACGTAAACCGTGGGGTGCAGCGTCATGATTTTTACAACTTTGAATGGGCATGGGGTGTAGATTGCCCTGAGCAAATTTGGTATCGGTGGGACGAAAGCCTTAGGAGGAGATAGCCACATTCCAGTGTGTGCGAATCGGCAAAAAATGCGAAATAGCCCTTTAACCGTACATTATACAGATACGCGCTTTTTGACTTTTTCGTAGATCTAATTGAGATACACATGATTGTCAATTTTTGTGTCAATATGACAAAGCGTTCAGGCGTGACACTCAACAATGTGTATTTTCATGTAAGGGGACAAGAAAAAATGGACTTTTTTCTCCTGCCATGGGGGGGCGCTCTTTTGGGGAGTAAAAATTCCTTCACAAATGTGTTGATGGCTGGACATTGCATCATCCTAGAAAACTTGGAGGGCAGTGAGGACAAAAATAAAAAGTTATAAGACTTTTAAGAATGTGGATTTTGGGTTATCTTTGGCGCCCCCTAGAACGTAAACTGTGGGGTGCAGTGTCATGATTTGTACAACTTTTAATGGCCATGGGGGGTAGATTGGCCTGCGCAAATGTGGTGCCGGTCGAACGAAAGCCTTCGGAGGAGTTAGTGAAATTCCAATGTGTGCAGATCTGCAAAAAATGCAAAATAACCCATTAACCGTACATTTGACAGATACGCCCGCACTGACTTTTTTGTAGATCTTATTGAGATACATGTGTGTGTCAATTTTTGTGTCAATATGACAAAGCGTACAGCCGTCATGTGAATTTTCACCTTAGGGGGCGCTATGGAGCCATTTTGCATTTTATTGTTTGGGCGACTTCAGAATATCGAATTTTTCACCAGGCCCGGTCGTCCTGCCAAATTTCATGAGTTTTCGCCAGTGGGAAGTGGGCCATTTTCCAGTTCAAAGGGGAGGAAAAATAATAACTAGGGCCCCGGTGGGGCACTGGCGGGCCCGAGCCGTGTCGTGCCGCCCCCAGCGCGACCGCCTACCCCTCCCGATCGCGTCACACTCAAGGTCCAAAGATGGTGTGCGCACTTGTCTGTGGTCATTTACCATTATAATGAATGGGAGGCGCAGTTTCTACCAAATTGCTCGCTGCAGACAAACTCCATGTCCTTTTTGAAAAAAGTCTGGACCATGAGTGAGGGCACAAACACAGCTAGTATATATCCAAATGGCAAGTTGCTCCTCCTTTCAGTTTTGCCGAGAGAGTGATGCGTTTGAGCCATTGAGCGATGGGCAGGAAAAACTTGACTTTTTCTCCTGCCATGGGGGGGCGCTCTTTTGGGGAGAAAAAATTCCTTCACAAATGTGTTGATGGCTGGACATTGCATCATCCTAGAAAACTTGGAGGCCAGTGAGGACAAATATAAAAAGTTATAAGACTTTTAAAAATGTGGATATTTGGGTCCTCTTTGGCGCCCCCTAGAACGTAGACCGTGGGGTGCAGTGTCATGATTTTTACAACTTTGAATGGCCATGGGATGTAGATTGGTCTGAGCAAATTTGGTGTCAGTGGGACGAAAGCCTTAGGAGGAGTTAGCCACATTCCAATGTGTGCGAATCGGCAAAAAATGCAAAATAGCCCTTTAACCGTACATTTTACAGATACGCGCGCATTGACTTTTTCATAGATCTTATTGAGATACACGTGATTATTAGATTTTGTGTCAATATGACAAAGCGTACAAGTGTGACATTCAACAATGTGTATTTTCGCCTAAGGGGACAAGAAAAAATGGACTTTTTTCTCCTGCCATGGGGGGGGCGCTCTTTTGGGGAGTAAAAATTCCTTCACAAATGTGTTGATGGCTGGACATTGCATCATCCTAGAAAACTTGGAGGCCAGTGAGGACAAAAATAAAAAGTTATAAGACTTTTAAATATGTGGATTTTAGGGTTATCTTTGGCGCCCCCTAGAACCTAAACCGTGGGGTGCAGCGTCATGATTTTGATAACTTTTAATGGCCATGGGGTGTAGATTGGCCTGAGCAAATGTGGTGCCGGTGGAACGAAAGCCTTAGGAGGAGTTAGCCACATTCCAATGTGTGCGGATCGGCAAAAAATGCGGAATAACCCTTTAACCGTACATTTGACAGATACGCGCGCATTGACTTTTTCGTAGATCTTATTGAGTTACATGTGTGTGTCAATTTTTGTGTCATTTTGAAAAAAGCGTATAGGCGTGACACTCAACAATGTGTATTTTCACCTTAGGGGACAAGAAAAAATTGACTTTTTTCTCCTGCCATGGGGGGGCGCTCTTTTGGGGAGTAAAAATTCCTTCACAAATATGTTGATGGCTGGACATTGCATCATCCTAGAAAACTTGGAGGCCAGTGAGGACAAAAATATAAAGTTATAAGACTTTTAAATATGTGGATTTTAGTGTTATCTTTGGCGCCCCCTAGAACCTAAACCGTGGGGTGCAGCGTCATGATTTGTACAACTTTTAATGGCCACGGGGTGTAGATTGGCCTGAGCAAATGTGGTGCCGTTGGAACGAAAGCCTTCGGAGGAGTTAGCGAAATTCCAATGTGTGCGGATCGGCAAAAAATGCGAAATAACCCTTTAACCGTAATTTTGACAGATACGGCCGCACTGACTTTTTTGTAGATCTTATTGAGATACATATGTGTGTCAATTTTTGTGTCAATATGACAAAGCGTACAGGCGTGACAGTCAATAGTGTGAATTTCCACCTTAGGGGGCGCTATGGAGCCATTTTGCATTTTATTGTTTGGGCGACTTCAGAATATCGAATTTTTCACCAGGCCCGGTCGTCCTGCCAAATTTCATGAGTTTTCGCCAGTGGGAAGTGGGCCATTTTCCAGTTCAAAGGGGAGGAAAAAGAAGAAAGAAAGAACTAGGGCCCCGTTGGGGCACTGGCGGGCCCGAGCTGTGTCGCCCCCCCCCCCCCCCCCCCCCCAACGCGCTGCCTCCCCGTCCCATTCGCGTCCTCTGGCCATCGTCCTCTCTGGTAACGCCCATCACTGCAAAGACCCTTTTCCTTCATCGGCGTTTGCTGTTCTTCCTGCCAGTGCGTGTTGCTTTCACTTACACTTGCCACAGCCAGCCTTGTGAGTGCCTAGCCTATTGGATATCACTGTCACCTACACAGGACAGTCATTACCTTTCTATTAATACTTTGTTTTTTAATTTCACATTAATTTCCATATTGTATAAACGACTGGAAAAAACTTGAGCCCCTGCCCCCGTATAATCATGTGCACGTCCCTGTTCTCGCTCCAAGGTGAATCTTCACTGCTCATGTTCTCCTCAGAAGCAGTCACCTCACTCCCCTCAGGTTACTGTACACATGCACCAACTGCCTGCTTCAGGTTTGGATGGAGCTTCATGGTTGTCTTTTGGAGAAATGAGCAGTCAAGTTGTGTTAGAAATTTGATTTTTTTCAGGGGCAAAAGGAAGCCTCTGCATTGTTGTCAAATATGTAAATAGCATGTTTTTGCAGGTGCTAAAAAACAGACTCTGAGTGTGTGTGTGTGTGTGTGTGTGTGTGTGTGTCTGTGTGTGTGTGTGTCTGTGTGTGTGTATCCTGCAGTACTCTGTACTCCTGCAGTGGCCAAAACGACTTTTAAGAATGTGGATATTTGGGTCATCTTTGGCGCCCCCTAGAACGTAAACCATGGGGTGCAGCGGCATGATTTTTACAACTTTGAATGGCCATGGGGTGTAGATTGGCCTGAGCAAATTTGGTGTCAGTGGGACGAAAGCCTTAGGAGGAGTTAGCCACATTCCAATGTGTGCGAATCGGCAAAAAATGCAAAATAGCCCTTTAGCCGTACATTTTACAGATACGCGCCCATTGACTTTTTCGTAGATCTTATTGAGATACACGTGTGTGTCAAATTTTTTGTCAATACGACAAAGCGTACAGGCGTGACACTCAACAATGTGTATTTTCACCTTAGGGGACAAGAAAAAATGGACTTTTTATTCCTGCCATGGGGGGGCGCTCTTTTGGGGAGTAAAAATTCCTTCACAAATGTGTTGATGGCTGGACATTGCATCATCCTAGAAAACTTGGAGGCCAGTGAGGACAAAAAAAAAAATTTATAAAACTTTTAAGAATGTGGATTTTTGGGTTATTTTTGGCGCCCCCTAGAACCTAAACCATGGGGTGCAGCATTATGATTTGTACAACTTTGAATGGCCATGGAGTGTAGATTGGCCTGAGCAAATGTGGTGCCGGTGGAACGAAAGCCTTCGGAGGAGTTAGCGAAATTCCAATGTGTGCGGATCTGCAAAAAATGCAAAATAACCCTTTAACCGTACATTTGACAGATACGCCCGCACTGACTTTTTTGTAGATCTTATTGAGATACATGTGTGTGTCAATTTTTGTGTCAATATGACAAAGCGTACAGGCGTGACAGTCAATAGTGTGAATTTTCACCTTAGGGGGCGCTATGGAGCCATTTTGCATTTTCTTGTTTGGGCGACTTCAGAATATCGAATTTTTCACCAGGCCCGGTCGTCCTGCCAAATTTCATGAGTTTTCGCCAGTGGGAAGTGGGCCATTTTCCAGTTTAAAGCGGAGGAAAAATAATAATAATAACAAAAGAAGAATCCATCAGGAACAAGAGGGCTCTCGCAGCTGCTTAGCAGCTACGCTCGGGCCCTAAAGAACTAGGGCCCCGTTGGGGCACTGGCGGGCCCGAGCCGTGTCGCGCCGCCCCCAGCGCGACCGCCTACCCCTCCCGATCGCGTCACACTCAAGGTCCAAAGATGGTGTGCGCACTTGTCTGTGGTCATTTACCATTATAATGAATGGGAGGCGCAGTTTCTACCAAAACGCTCGCTGCAGACAAACTCCATGTCCTTTTTGAAAAAAGTCTGGACCATGAGTGAGGGCACAAACACAGCTAGTATATATCCAAATGGCAAGTTGCTCCTCCTTTCGGTTTTGCCGAGAGAGCGATGCGTTTGAGCCATTGAGCGATGGGCAGGAAAAACTTGACTTTTTCTCCTGCCATGGGGGGCGCTCTTTTGGGGAGAAAAAATTCCTTCACAAATGTGTTGATGGCTGGACATTGCATCATCCTAGAAAACTTGGAGGCCAGTGAGGACAAAAATAAAAAGTTATAAGACTTTTAAAAATGTGGATATTTGGGTCCTCTTTGGCGCCCCCTAGAACGTAAACTGTGGGGTGCAGCGTCATGATTTGTACAACTTTGAATGGCCATGGGGTGTAGATTGACCTGAGCAAATTTGAAGCCGACGGGACAAAAGATTTAGGAGGAGTTAGCCACATTCCAATGTGTGCGAATCGGCAAAAAATGCGAAATAGCCCTTTAACCGTACATTGAACAGATACGCTCGCATTGACTTTTTCGTAGATCTTATTGAGATACATGTGTGTGTCAAATTTTGTGTCATTTTGACAAAGCGTAAAGGCGTGACAGTCAACAATGTGTATTTTCGCCTTAGGAGACAAGAAAAAATGGACTTTTTTCTCCTGCCATGGGGGGGGGCGCTCTTTTGGCGAGTAAAAATTCCTTCACAAATGTGTTGATGGCTGGACATTGCATCATCCTAGAGAACTTGGAGGCCAGTGAGGACAAAAATAAAAAGTTATAAGACTTTTAAGACTGTGGATTTTTGGGTTATCTTTGGCGCCCCCTAGAACGTAAACCGTGGGGTGCAGCGTCATGATTTGTACAACTTTTAATGGCCATGGGGTGTAGATTGGCCTGAGCAAATGTGGTGCCTTTGGAACGAAAGCCTTCGGAGGAGTTAGCGAAATTCCAATGTGTGCGGATCGGCAAAAAATGCGAAATAGCCCTTTAACCGTACATTTGACAGATACGCTCGCACTGACTTTTTTGTAGATCTTATTGAGATACATATGTGTATCCGTGTCGGCCCCCCCCCCCCCACCAATGCGCTGCCTCCCCTTCCCATTCGCGTCCTCTGGCCATCGTCCTCTCTGGTAACGCCCATCACTGCAAAGACCCTTTTCCTTCATCGGCGTTTGCTGTTCTTCCTGCCAGTGCGTGTTGCTTTCACTTACACTTGCCACAGCCAGCCTCGTGAGTGCCTAGCCTATTGGATATCACTGTCACCTACACAGGACAGTCATTACCTTTCTATTAATACTTTGTTTTTTAATTTCACATTAATTTCCATATTGTATAAACGACTGGAAAAAACTTGAGCCCCTGCCCCTGTATAATCATGTGCACGTCCCTGTTCTCGCTCCAAGGTGAATCTTCACTGCTCATGTTCTCCTCAGAAGCACTCACCTCACTCCCCTCAGGTAACTGTACACATGCACCAACTGCCTGCTTCAGGTTTGGATGGAGCTTCATGGTTGTCTTTTGGAGAAATGACCAGTCAAGTTGTGTTTGAAATTTGATTTTTTTCAGGGGCAAAAGGAGCCTCTGCATTGTTGTCAAATATGTAAATAGCATGTTTTTGCAGGTGCTAAAAAACAGACTCTGAGTGTGTGTGTGTGTGTGTGTGTGTGTGTGTGTGTGTGTGTGTGTGTGTGTGTGTGTGTCTGTGTTTGTGTGTGTCTGTGTGTGTGTATCCTGCAGTACTCTGTACTCCTGCAGTGGCCAAAACGACTTTTAAGAATGTGGATATTTGGGTCATCTTTGGCGCCCCCTAGAACGTAAACCATGGGGTGCAGCGGCATGATTTTTACAACTTTGAATGGCCATGGGATGTAGATCGGCTTGAGCAAATTTGGTGTCGGTGGGAAGAAAGCCTTAGGAGGAGTTAGCCACATTCCAATGTGTGCGAATCTGCAAAAAATGCGAAATAGCCCTTTAACCATACATTTTACAGATACGTGCCCATTGACTTTTTCGTAGATCTTATTGAGATACACGTGATTGTCAAATTTTGGGTCAATATGACAAAGCGTATAGGCGTGACACTCAACAATGTGTATTTTCACCTTAGGGGACAAGAAAAAATGGACTTTTTTCTCCTGCCATGTGGGGGCGCTCTTTTGGGGAGTAAAAATTCCTTCACAAATGTGTTGATGGCTGGACATTGCATCATCCTAGAGAACTTGGAGGCCAGTGAGGACAAAAATAAAAAGTTATAAGACTTTTAAGACTGTGGATTTTTGGGTTATCTTTGGCGCCCCCTAGAACGTAAACTGTGGGGTGCAGCGTCATGATTTGTACAACTTTTAATGGCCATGGGGTGTAGATTGGCCTGAGCAAATGTGGTGCCGGTGGAACGAATGCCTTCGGAGGAGTTAGCGAAATTCCAATGTGTGCAGATCGGCAAAAAATGCGAAATAACCCTCTAACTGTACATTTCACAGATGCGCCCGCGCTGACTTTTTCGTAGAACGTATTGAGATACACGTGTGTGTCAATTTTTGTGTCAATATGACAAAGCGTACAGGCGTGACAGTCAATAGTGTGAATTTTCGCCTTAGGGGGCGCTATGGAGCCATTTTGCATTTTATTGTTTGGGCGACTTCAGAATATCGAATTTTTCACCAGGCCCGGTCGTCCTGCCAAATTTCATGAGTTTTCGCCAGTGGGAAGTCGGCCATTTTCCAGTTTAAAGCGGAGGAAAAATAATAATAATAACAAAAGAAGAATCCATCAGGAACAAGAGGGCTCTCGCAGCTGCTTAGCAGCTACGCTCGGGCCCTAAAGAAAGAAAGAAACAAAGAAAAACCACTTGGGGAATAATAGGGCCTACGCCCGGCTGCTCTGCAGCTGGCTCGGGCCCTAAAGAAAGAAAGAAAGAAAGAAGAAAGAAAAACCTATACAGGAATAATAGGGCTCTACGCCCGGCTGCTCTGCAGCTGGCTCGGGCCCTAACTAGGGCCCCGGTGGGGCACTGGCGGGCCCGAGCCGTGTCGCGCCGCCCCCAGCGCGACCGCCTCCCCCACCCAATCGCGTCACACTCAAGGTCCAAAGATGGTGTACGCACTTGTCTGTGGTCATTTACCATTATAATGAATGGGAGGCGCAGTTTCTACCAAAACGCTCGCTGCAGAAAAACTCCATGTCCTATTTGAAAAAAGTCTGGACCATGAGTGAGGGCACAAACACAGCTAAGATATATCCAAATGGCAAGTTGCTCCTCCTTTCGCTTTTGCCGAGAGAGCGATGCGTTTGAGCCATTGAACGATGAACAGGAAAAACTTGACTTTATTCTCCTGCCATGGGGGGGCGCTCTTTTAACGAGAAAAAACTCCTTCACAAATGTGTTGATGGCTGGACATTGCATCATCCTAGAAAACATGGAGGCCAGTGAGGACAAAAATAAAATGTTATAACACTTTTAAGAATATGGATATTTGGGTCATCTTTGGCGCCCCCTAGAACTTAAACCGTGGGGTGCAGCGTCATGATTTTTACAACTTTGAATGGCCATGGGGTGTAGATTGGCCTGAGCAAATTTGGTGCCGGTGGAGCGAAAGCCTTCGGAGGAGTTAGCTACATTCCAATGTGTGCGAATCGGCAAAAAATGCGAAATAGCCCTTTAACCGTACATTTGACAGATACGCCTGCATTTACTTTTTCGTAGATCTTATTGAGATACACGTGTGTGTTGAATTTTGTGTCATTTTGACAAAGCGTACAGGCATGACACTCAACAATGTGTATTTTCACCTTAGGGGACAAGAAAAAATGGACTTTTTTCTCCTGCCATGGGGGGGCGCTCTTTTGGGGAGTAAACATTCCTTCACAAATGTGTTGATGGCTGGACATTGCATCATCCTAGAAAACTTGGAGGCCAGTGAGGACAAAAATAAAAAGTTATAAGACTTTTAAAAATGTGGATATTTGGGTCCTCTTTGGCGCCCCCTAGAACATAGACCGTGGGGTGCAGCGTCATGATTTTTACAACTTTGAATGGCCATGGAGTTTAGATTGGCCTGAGCAAATTTGGTGTCAGTGGGACGAAAGCCTTAGGAGGAGTTAGCCACATTCCAATGTGTGCGAAATGGCAAAAAATGCGAAATAGCCCTTTAACCGTACATTTTACTGATACGCGCGCATTGACTCTTTCGTAGATCTTATTGAGATACACGTGATTGTCAAATTTTGTGTCAATATGACGAAGCGTACAGGCGTGACATTCAACAATGTGTATTTTCGCCTTAGAGGACTAGAAAAAATGGACTTTTTTCTCCTGCCATGGGGGGGCGCTCTTTTGGCGAGTAAAAATTCCTTCACAAATGTGTTGATGGCTGGACATTGCATCATCCTAGAAAACTTGGAGGCCAGTGAGGACAAAAATAAAAAGTTATAAGACTTTTAAGAATGTGGATTTTTGGGTTATCTTTGGCGCCCCCTAGAACGTAAACCGTGGGGTGCAGCATCATGATTTGTACAACTTTTAATGGCCATGGGGTGTAGATTGGCCTGAGCAAATTTGGTGCCGGTGGAACGAAAGCCTTCGGAGGAGTTAGCGAAATTCCAATGTGTGCGGATCGGCAAAAAATGCGAAATAGCCCTTTAACCGTACATTTGACAGATATGCCCGCACTGACTTTTTTGTAGATCTTATTGAGATACACATGTGTGTCAAATTTTGTGTCATTTTGACAAAGCGTACAGGCGTCAGGTGAGTTTTCACCATAGGGGGCGCTATGGAGCCATTTTTCCTTTTTTTGTTTGGGCGACTTCAGAATATCAAATTTTTCACCAGGCCCGGTCGTCCTGCCAAATTTCCTGAGTTTTCGCCAGTGGGAAGTGGGCCATTTTCCAGTTTAAAGCGGAGGAAAAATAACGAAAGAAGAATCCATCAGGAACAAGAGGGCTCTCGCAGCTGCTTAGCAGCTACGCTCGGGCCCTAACTAGGGCCCCGGTGGGGCACTGGCGGGCCCGAGCCGTGTCGCGCCGCCCCCAGTGCGACCGCCTACCCCTCCCGATCGCGTCACACTCAAGGTCCAAAGATGGTGTGCGCACTTGTCTGTGGTCATTTACCATTATAATGAATGGGAGGCGCAGTTTCTACCAAAACGCTCGCTGCAGACAAACTCCATGTCCTTTTTGAAAAAAGTCTGGACCATGAGTGAGGGCACAAACACAGCTAGTATATATCCAAATGGCAAGTTGCTCCTCCTTTCGGTTTTGCCGAGAGAGCGATGCGTTTGAGCCATTGAGCGATGGGCAGGAAAAACTTGACTTTTTCTCCTGCCATGGGGGGGCGCTCTTTTGGGGAGTAAAAATTCCTTCACAAATGTGTTGATGGCTGGACATTGCATCATCCTAGAAAACTTGGAGGCCAGTGAGGACAAAAATAAAAAGTAATAAGACTTTTAAGACTGTGGATTTTTGGGTTATCTTTGGCGCCCCCTAGAACCTAAACCGTGGGGTGCAGCGTCATGATTTGTACAACTTTGAATGGCCATGGGTTGTAGATTGGCCTGAGCAACTATGGTGTCAGTGGGACGAAAGCCTTCGGAGGAGTTAGCGAAATTCCAATGTGTGCGAATCGGCAAAAAATGCAAAATAGCCCTTTTACCGTACATTATACAGATACGCGCTCTTTGACTTTTTCGTAGATCTAATTGAGATACACATGATTGTTAATTTTTGTGTCAATATGACAAAGAGTTCAGGCGTGACACTCAACAATGTGTATTTTCACCTTAGGGGACAAGAAAAAATTGACTTTTTTCTCCTGCCATGGGGGGGGCGCTCTTTTGGGGAGTAAAAATTCCTTCACACATGTGTTGATGGCTGGACATAGCATCATCCTCGAAAACTTGGAGGCCAGTGAGGACAAAAATAAAAAGTAATAAGACTTTTAAGAATGTGGATTTTTGGGTTATCTTTGGCGCCCCCTAGAACATAAACCGTGGGGTGCAACGTCATGATTTGTACAACTTTGAATGGCCATGGGGTGTAGATTGGCCTGAGCAAATTTGGTGCCGGTGGAACGAAAGCCTTCGGAGGAGTTAGCGAAATTCCAATGTGTGCGGATCGGCAAAAAATGCGAAATAGCCCTTTAACCGTACATTTGACAGATACGCCCGCACTGACTTTTTTGTAGATCTTATTGAGATACACATGTGTGTCAAATTTTGTGTCATTTTGACAAAGCGTACAGGCGTCAGGTGAGTTTTCACCATAGGGGGCGCTATGGAGCCATTTTTCATTTTTTTGTTTGGGCGACTTCAGAATATCAAATTTTTCACCAGGCCCGGTCGTCCTGCCAAATTTCCTGAGTTTTCGCCAGTGGGAAGTGGGCCATTTTCCAGTTTAAAGCGGAGGAAAAATAACGAAAGAAGAATCCATCAGGAACAAGAGGGCTCTCGCAGCTGCTTAGCAGCTACGCTCGGGCCCTAACTAGGACCCCGTTGGGGCACTGGCGGGCCCGAGCTGTGTCGCGTCCCCCCCCAACGCGCTGCCTCCCCGTCCCATTTGTTTCCTCTGGCCATCGCCCTCTCTGGTAACGCCCATCACTGCAAAGACCCTTTTCCTTCATCGGCGTTTGCTGTTCTTCCTGCCAGTGCGTGTTGCTTTCACTTACACTTGCCACAGCCAGCCTCGTGAGTGCCTAGCCTATTGGATATCACTGTCATCTACACAGGACAGTCATAACCTTTCTATTAATACTTTGTTTTTTAATTTCACATTAATTTCCATATTGTATAAATGACTGGAAAAAACTTGAGCCCCTGCCCCTGTATAATCATGTGCACGTCCCTGTTCTAGCTCCAAGGTGAATCTTCACTGCTCATGTTCTCCTCAGAAATAGTCACCTCACTCCCCTCAGGTTACTGTACACATGCACCAACTATCTGCTTCAGGTTTGGATGGAACTTCATGGTTGTCTTTTGGAGAAATGAACAGTCAAGTTGTGTTTGAAATTTGATTTTTTTCAGGGGCAAAAGGAAGCCTCTGCATTCTTGTCAAATATGTAAACAGCATGTTTTTGCAGGTGCTAAAAAACAGACTCTGACTGTGTGTGTGTGTGTGTGTGTGTGTGTGTGTGTGTGTGTGTGTGTGTGTGTGTGTGTGTTGGCGTGTGTGTATATGTGTGTGTATCCTGCAGTACTCTGTACTCCTGCAGTGGCCATAAAGACTTTTAAGAATGTGGATTTTTGGGTCATCTTTGGCGCCCCCTAGAACTGCAGTACTCTGTACTCCTGCAGTGGCCAAAATGACTTTTAAGAATGTGGATTTTTGGGTCATCTTTGGCGCCCCCTAGAACGTAAACCGTGGGGTGCAGCGTCATGATTTTTACAACTTTGAATGGCCATGGAGTGTAGATTGCCCTGAGCAAATTTGGTATCAGTGGGACGAAAGCCTTAGGAGGAGATAGCCACATTCCAATGTGTGCGAATCGGCAAAAAATGCGAAATAGCCCTTTAACCGTACATTATACAGATACGCGCTCTTTGACTTTTTCGTAGATCTAATTGAGATACACATGATTGTCAATTTTTGTGTCAATATGACAAAGCGTTCAGGCGTGACACTCAACAATGTGTATTTTCATGTAAGGGGACAAGAAAAAATTGACTTTTTTCTCCTGCCATGGGGGGGCGCTCTTTTGGGGAGTAAAAATTCCTTCAAAAATGTGTTGATGGCTGGACATTGCATCATCCTAGAAAACTTGGAGGGCAGTGAGGACAAAAATAAAAAGTTATAAGACTTTTAAGAATGTGGATTTTTGGGTTATCTTTGGCGCCCCCTAGAACCTAAACCGTGGGGTGCAGCGTCATGATTTGTACAACTTTTAATGGCCATGGGGTGTAGACTGGCCTGAGCAAATGTGGTGCCGGTGGAACGAAAGCCTTCGGAGGAGTTAGCGAAATTCCAATGTGTGCGGATCGGCAAAAAATGCGAAATAACCCTTTAACCGTACATTTGACAGATACGCCCGCACTGACTTTTTTGTAGATCTTATTGAGATACATATGTGTGTCAATTTTTGTGTCAATATGACAAAACGTACAGACGTGACAGTCAATAGTGTGAATTTCCACCTTAGGGGGCGCTATGGAGCCATTTTGCATTTTATTGTTTGGGCGACTTCAGAATATCGAATTTTTCACCAGGCCCGGTCGTCCTGCCAAATTTCATGAGTTTTCGCCAGTGGGAAGTGGGCCATTTTCCAGTTTAAAGCGGAGGAAAAATAATAACTAGGGCCCCGTTGGGGCACTGGCGGGCCCGAGCCGCGTCGCGCCGCCCCCAGCGCGACCGCCTCCCTGATCCATTAGGTTTAAATAGAAAAAGCATTAAAATATGTTAGGATTATAGCATATGACAAATGTGTGCCTCTCAGTGGCCATAACTACTTTGTCTGCTGGCTCTGCAGTCGATTGACGCTCCCCAGCGTTCAAGTCACATGACAAATTTAACCGGATGTAGCTGCAAGACGGAGCCTCGTTGACTCTCCGTTTCAACTTATCTCCAAAGTGAGGACCTTAAACTATGTACCAGTTTTTAAATTGTGTTGATAGGCCAAATAAAACCAGAGTTATGATAAATTATGTCTGCGATACTTTTTTTCTGCTTATTTTGATCACGTTCGGCGCTAGATCGCACTGTATGAGACAGGAAAACATAGCATGCAGACATTAGCGACAGCTCTTACAGGCGGAAAAGGCTTGCCAAAAGAAAAAACAAAAACACACCACAACATCTCTCCTATTGGTGGAAAACTTCACCACAACAACCAATCCAAAATTATATGGTGACTGATTGACAAGGGGCGGGCGCTTACGTTCTTCCTGCAACATGAGAAGGGATGGAGGGACTCTCAGCAGGGATGCAGTCTGGGACACGTAGTTGCAAACCTAGCGACTTTGTTGTTAGATTCAATGACTTTTCAGACCCCCTAACGACTTTTTTTTTTAAAGAAAGGGACTTTTATCGACTTCTTCTGGAGTTTAGAGACTCTGACATGAAGCAGGCTTTCCTTACTGAGGAGTTAGCAACGCTGCTAAGGGTGCAGAGCCACACATGCACTCAGAGCTCTGCATGGGAGACTGAAGCTGACAGAGCTGCAGCAGTTAGCAGGTTTCACCCTCAGAGACCACCAGGGGTTCATGTTGAGGCATTTTCAGTTTGTTTTATTGTTTTTTTGCCATCGACACTGTCAGCACAATCTGCAGTTACACTAACAAAAATGCTGGACAAAACAAAGAATTATGGAAAAATTACACATGGACTAACATAGAGGAGGATCTACACAAGTTTTTTACATCATGTTTTACATCATGCATCATTTACATCATGTTTTTTTTTGTAGTGGCATAAATAAAAAGTGACATTTGTGAGACTATACAGTGTTTTGTAAATAATTTTACAAAGAACGCCTGGGCCATTGCCTGCATTTTGATGTAAATAGATTTAAATTACTATGTTCTTTGTTAAAAATTTGCAAATGTTTTGAAGTTTAAAATTTTTATTTGATGTTTAAGTTTTAAAACAGTTCATCACACATATTTGTGGTTTTCACAGTAAAAATGTTACTTTTTTCCACTCGGATATTATGTTTTGTGTGTGAATTTGGGTCCATTGTGTAAAAACAGTATGTGAAAATGATAAAATAACTGTAAAGTCACACAGGTGAGGTTGTGCTGAAAAAAATGATACCAGGCAAGGCAAGGTAAAAAAATTTTAAGAGGAAATATAAAGGTAAAATCTAAAGTAGTCAAAAACGGCCAATAGTGACTCCCAGTCTCCATAGACAAGTCCCTTTGGCGCCACTCAGTGGGCAAAACTACTTTGTCTGCTGTAATGTATATTTGGGTCATCTTTGGCGCCCCCTAGAACCTAAACCGTGGGGTGCAGCGTCATGATTTGTACAACTTTTAATGGCCATGGGGTGTAGATTGGCCTGAGCAAATGTGGTGCCGGTGGAACGAAAGCCTTCGGAGGAGTTAGCGAAATTCCAATGTGTGCGGATCGGCAAAAAATGCGAAATAGCCCTTTAACCGTACATTATACAGATACGCGCTCTTTGACTTTTTCGTAGATCTTATTGAGATACACGTGTGTGTCAAATTTTGTGTCAATATGACAAAGCGTTCAGGCATGACACTCAACAATGTGTATTTTCACCTTAGGGGACAAGAAAAAATGGACTTTTTTCTCCTGCCATGGGGGGCGCTCTTTTGGGGAGTAAAAATTTCTTCACAAATGTGTTGATGGCTGGACATTGCATCATCCTAGAAAACTTGGAGGCCAGTGAGGACAAAAATAAAAAGTTATAAGACTTTTAAGAATGTGGATTTTTGGGTTATCTTTGGCGCCCCCTAGAATGTAAACCGTGGGGTGCAGCGCCATGATTTGTACAACTTTTAATGGCCATGGGGTGTAGATTGTCCTGAGCAAATTTGTTGCCGGTGGAACGAAAGCCTTCGGAGGAGTTAGCGAAATTCCAATGTGTGCGGATCGGCAAAAAATGCGAAATAGCCCTTTAACCGTACATTTGACAGATACGCCAGCACTGACTTTTTTGTAGATCTTATTGAGATACACATGTGTGTCAAATTTTGTGTCATTTTGACAAAGCGTACAGGCGTCAGGTGAGTTTTCACCATAGGGGGCGCTATGGAGCCATTTTTCATTTTTTTGTTTGGGCGACTTCAGAATATCGAATTTTTCACCAGGCCCGGTCGTCCTGCCAAATTTCCTGAGTTTTCGCCAGTGGGAAGTGGGCCATTTTCCAGTTTAAAGCGGAGGAAAAATAACGAAAGAAGAATCCATCAGGAACAAGAGGGCTCTCGCAGCTGCTTAGCAGCTACGCTCGGGCCCTAATAATAATAACAAAAGAAGAATCCATCAGGAACAAGAGGGCTCTCGCAGCTGCTTAGCAGCTACGCTCGGGCCCTAACGAAAGAAGGAAACATGCAGGAACAAGAGGGCTCTCGCAGCTGCTTAGCAGCTACGCTCGGGCCCTAATAATAACTAGGGCCCCGGTGGGGCACTGTCGGGCCCGAGCCGCGTCGCGCCGCCCCCAGCGCGACCGCCTCCACCTCCCGATCGCGTCACACTCTAGGTCCAAAGATGGAGTGCGCACTTGTCTGTGGTCATTTCCCATTATAATGAATGGGAGGCGCAGTTTCTACCAAAACACTCGCTGCAGACAAACTACATGTCCTATTTGAAAAAAGTCTGGACCATGAGTGAGGGCACAAACACAGCTAGGATATATCCAAATGGCAAGTTGCTCCTCCTTTCGCTTTTGCCGAGAGAGCGATGCGATTGAGCCATTGAGCGATGGGCAGGAAAAACTTGACTTTTTCTCCTGCCATGGGGGGAGGGGGGGGGATGTGGATTCTTTTAAGAATGTGGATATTTGGGTCATCTTTGGCACCCCCTAGAACGTAAACCGTGGGGTGCAGCGTCATGATTTTTACAACTTTGAATGGCCATGGGGTGTAGATTGGCCTGAGCAAATTTGGTGTCAGTGGGACGAAAGCCTTAGGAGGAGTTAGCCACATTCCAATGTGTGCGAATCGGCAAAAAATGCAAAATAGCCCTTTAACCGTACATTTTACAGATATTTGCGCATGACTTTTTCATAGATCTTATTGAGATACACGTGATTGTCAAATTTTGTGTCATTTTGACAAAGCGTACAGGCGTGACACTCAACAATGTGTATTTTCACCTTATGGGACAAGAAAAAATGGACTTTTTTCTCCTGCCATGGGGGGGCGCTCTTTTGGGGAGTAAAAATTCCTTCACAAATGTGTTGATGGCTGGACATTGCATCATCCTAGAAAACTTGGAGGCCAGTGAGGACAAAAATAAAAAGTTATAAGACTTTTAAGAATGTGGATTTTTGGGTTATCTTTGGCGCCCCCTAGAACCTAAACCGTGGGGTGCAGCGTCATGATTTGTACAACTTTTAATGGCCATGGGGTGTAGATTGGCCTGAGCAAATTTGGTGCCGGTGGAACGAAAGCCTTCGGAGGAGTTAGCGAAATTCCAATGTGTGCGGATCGGCAAAAAATGCGAAATAGCCCTTTAACCGTACATTATACAGATACGCGCTCTTTGACTTTTTCGTAGATCTTATTGAGATACACGTGTGTGTCAAATTTTGTGTCAATATGACAAAGCGTTCAGTTATGACACTCAACAATGTGTATTTTCACCTTAGGGGACAAGAAAAAAATGGACTTTTTTCTCCTGCCATGGGGGGGCGCTCTTTTGGGGAGTAAAAATTTTTTCACAAATGTGTTGATGGCTGGACATTGCATCATCCTAGAAAACTTGGAGGCCAGTGAGGACAAAAATAAAAAGTTATAAGACTTTTAAGACTGTGGATTTTTGGGTTATCTTTGGCGCCCCCTAGAATGTAAACCGTGGGGTGCAGCGTCATGATTTGTACAACTTTTAATGGCCATGGGGTGTAGATTGCCCTGAGCAAATTTGTTGCCGGTGGAACGAAAGCCTTCGGAGGAGTTAGCGAAATTCCAATGTGTGCGGATCGGCAAAAAATGCGAAATAGCCCTTTAACCGTACATTTGACAGATACGCCCGCACTGACTTTTTTGTAGATCTTATTGAGATACACATGTGTGTCAAATTTTGTGTCATTTTGACAAAGCGTACAGGCGTCAGGTGAGTTTTCACCATAGGGGGCGCTATGGAGCCATTTTTCATTTTTTGTTTGGGCGACTTCAGAATATCGAATTTTTCACCAGGCCCAGTCGTCCTGCCAAATTTCCTGAGTTTTCGCCAGTGGGAAGTGGGCCATTTTCCAGTTTAAAGCGGAGGAAAAATAACGAAAGAAGAATCCATCAGGAACAAGAGGGCTCTCGCAGCTGCTTAGCAGCTACGCTCGGGCCCTAATAACAAAAGAAGAATCCATCAGGAACAAGAGGGCTCTCGCAGCTGCTTAGCAGCTACGCTCGGGCCCTAAAGACTAGGGCCCCGGTGGGGCACTGGCGGGCCCGAGCCGTGTCGCGCCGCCCCCAGTGCGACCGCCTACCCCTCCCGATTGCGTCACACTCAAGGTCCAAAGATGGTGTGCGCACTTGTCTGTGGTCATTTACCATTATAATGAATGGGAGGCGCAGTTTCTACCAAAACGCTCGCTGCAGACAAACTCCATGTCCTTTTTGAAAAAAGTCTGGACCATGAGTGAGGGCACAAACACAGCTAGTATATATCCAAATGGCAAGTTGCTCCTCCTTTCGGTTTTGCCGAGAGAGCGATGCGTTTGAGCCATTGAGCGATGGGCAGGAAAAACTTGACTTTTTCTCCTGCCATGGGGGGGCGCTCTTTTGGGGAGTAAAAATTCCTTCACAAATGTGTTGATGGCTGGACATTGCATCATCCTAGAAAACTTGGAGGCCAGTGAGCACAAAAATAAAAAGTTATAAGACTTTTAAAAATGTGGATATTTGGGTCCTCTTTGGCGCCCCCTAGAACGTAGACCGTGGGGTGCAGCGTCATGATTTTTACAACTTTGAATGGCCATGGGGTGTAGATTGGCCTGAGCAAATTTGGTGTCAGTGGGACGAAAGCCTTAGGAGGACTAAGCCACATTCCAATGTGTGCGAATCTGCAAAAAATGCGAAAAAGCCCTTTAACCATACATTTTACAGATACGCGCGCATTGACTTTTTCGTAGATCTTATTGAGATGCACGTGATTGTCAAATTTTGTGTCAATATGACAAAGCGTACAGGCGTGACATTCAACAATGTGTATTTTCGCCTTGGGGGACAAGAAAAAATGGACTTTTTTCTCCTGCCATGGGGGGGCGCTCTTTTGGGGAGTAAAAATTCCTTCACAAATGTGTTGATGGCTGGACATTGCATCATCCTAGAGAACTTGGAGGCCAGTGAGGACAAAAATAAAAAGTTATAAGACTTTTAAATATTTGGATTTTAGGGTTATCTTTGGCGCCCCCTAGAACCTAAACCGTGGGGTGCAGCGTCATGATTTGTACAACTTTTAATGGCCATGGGGTGTAGATTGGCCTGAGCAAATTTAGTGCCGGTGGAACGAAAGCCTTCGGAGGAGTTAGCGAAATTCCAATGTGTGCGGATCGGCAAAAATGCGAAATAGCCCTTTAACCGTACATTTGACAGATACGCCCGCACTGACTTTTTTGTAGATCTTATTGAGATACACATGTGTGTCAAATTTTGTGTCATTTTGACAAAGCGTACAGGCGTCAGGTGAGTTTTCACCATAGGGGGCGCTATGGAGCCATTTTTCATTTTTTTGTTTGGGCGACTTCAGAATATCAAATTTTTCACCAGGCCCGGTCGTCCTGCCAAATTTCCTGAGTTTTCGCCAGTGGGAAGTGGGCCATTTTCCAGTTTAAAGCGGAGGAAAAATAACGAAAGAAGAATCCATCAGGAACAAGAGGGCTCTCGCAGCTGCTTAGCAGCTACGCTCGGGCCCTAAAGAAAGAAAATCTCATCAGGAACAACAGGGCTCTCGCAGCTGCTTAGCAGCTACGCTCGGGCCCTAAAAACCCATACAGGAACAATAGGGCTCTCGCAGCTGCTTAGCAGCTACGCTCGGGCCCTAAAGAAGATTTTTCGCCTATGAAGGAACAAGAGGGCTCTCGCAGCTGCTTAGCAGCTACGCTCGGGCCCTAAAAAACCACTACAGGAACAACAGGGCTCTACGCCCGGCTGCTCTGCAGCTGGCTCGGGCCCTAAAAAGAAACAAAGAAAAACCACTACAGGAACAACAGGGCCTCGCAGCTGCTTAGCAGCTACGCTCGGGCCCTAAAAACCTTGTGGATGCTTCGATCCCGGACGAGCCCCCATTTGTTACGCCCCACCCGAAGGCGGCCCTATGGGGCTAACAACTATCCTCACCTTTTGACCCATTAAGTTAACAAAACACCTTCAAAAGTTTAACAAGTGATTTATTGTGACCAAATAACAAAATTTCAAACTAAACACAAAGAACCCACAACACAAATGAGAGGCAGCAGGGCAGCAGTTCCCCACCAAATGCCTCTCCAGACTGCAGGCAGCTCTCGGTCTTTAAAGGCCCAGCACCAGGTGAGTCTAATTGTCACTCAGTGACTTCACCTCGGCACCTATGGGGAGACAAAAGGGGAAAAACACACACAAAACAAACACACAGCCGTAACACTTGTAGAGGATTGTTAAAAACACAGGTCTACCTACAGGTTTCAAAAGAATGAGGATGGTGGTTGAAAGAGCTGCATGGGATTGGAAACAGATAAATCAAGTGAAAATTGCATTATCAAAGATCAAAGGAATACACAAGCAAAAAATAACTTCACTGTTTTGTTTCATATATCCTCGAACAATTAAAAACCAGTATCATACACTCTTTTTTTTCATTTGTGAGGCTGTAAATCTATTTTCTGCTTCAGATTAAATCTCCCTCCTTGAACCTCACTGGATCTAACCCTCTGACAGCAACTCTGACACCTTAATCCGAGCAGGGACAAGAGGTGGACACCTCTAGTTCTGCCACTGACACATACAGAAAGCATTGGAATCACCATTACCCAGGCAGCAGAAAAGCCCAGACAAGAAAGTCTTGCATGATGATAGCATCTTAATGTAGTAGCACTTGTACCCGGCAGTGATCGACTCCTATCAAACTAGTATGGCCTGGATCCTACCTTAGTCCACAGCAGAGGCCTTCCCTGTAGCCAGGTTGTGCACATAAAGACGTGAGCTACTGAGACCAAAATCAGTTCTGTACCAGACTTTAAACATAATTATTTTGCAGAGTTGACTGTCTTAACACTGGCTTTAATGGGGTGTCCAAGACCTCAAATGGACAGTCAAGGAACTGTGAGTTATGGACTTTTGCTTTGACTTCATTTTTCAATGAGAGGTTGCTGCTTGCATACACCCCATGTCAAATCTTATTTAACAACTAGAAAAATTGCATTTCCTTGCAGAAAATGCGTGGAAATGCTGAGTGCTGAAAGCTGAAAAAGCAATGCTAAACTGCTAATAAAACATGGAGAAATGTATAAATGTTAAAGCTGTTGAAGGGGTGTGAAAGAAATGTAAGTTGGATAATTGATTAATTGGTTGAAGGACAAATAGTATGAATATGCTCTATAAAAAGAAATTTTATTTATGCTGAAAGAGGCTAGAAAAATGTCTAAAATTGCACAAAGTTTGAATGAAGAAGGAAATTGCCTTAAAAGGCAGGAAGGTGGGAAGTGGCATAAGTTTAATTTTTTAAGTATTAGAAAGGTTTGAAACAGTTTGAATCAGTTCAAATTAGTTTGAAAAATTAAATGATAAATCATCACTGAGTGACTTTAAAATGTGAAAAATCTAAATGTATATAAATCCTAAATACACCCCATAATGTCCTCAATGAGCTCAAATTTTAAAGCCCTGAATGGTTTCTGTAGGTCAAAGGTCATGTGAGGAGATAGGGGCTGAAGTTTTTTCAAGCGCTCTAGTAAAGGGTTTTAAGTGTCATCCCCAGTGCTATGTGTGCTGAGCCTGGCTTCATGTGTCTCATATGGCCATTAGAAGCAGCTTTCCAGTCAGCTGTGTGTCTCCAGGTGCACTAATTGGTTGCCATGGGGACCTTGGATGCATAACTATAGCAGGAGAAAGAAGGCTTGAAGCTAAGGAAACAGGACTCCAAGTAGGCCCTGACGCTCATCCTCTGTATCTATTCCTGAAAAGGAGCTTGTGAGAACACAAGACTCTGCTAAACACATTAATACAATTTATTATCACAATCCTCAAAACACCCCATAATATCTTCAATGAGCTGAATTTTAGAAGCCCAGAATGGTTTCTGTAGCTCAAAGTTTGTGGGTGGAGACAGGTGGCGAAGCAGACACATATTAACTGTGTGTACAAGCAGCTGAACTGCAAGGTAGACCTCATAAAGCAACAAGTACAAGAATGTGTGTGTGTGTGTGTGTGTGTGTGTGTCTCTCGTTAATGACTGCATCCTAAACAGCTGTGAGATCAAAGGCAAATCACTGACCTACTGTTTGAATGAGAAGCAGCTGAACTGCAGAGGATTTAGAGGCTCTAAACTTCTTCACATAGCGTGATTTCCTTAAGTCACAGAATGAAAATAAGAACATCGTACGAATCCTCCGCCCTTCATGAACACAATGATGTCTTTTTCATGTCTGTACTTCGAAAAATGAGGCCACAACAGCGAGTTAAAAAAGTCTGAGCCTGAGCGATGATCCGGATTTTCTTGGAGAAAAATAACATTACGGTCAATGGGAGAGATTTCCGCCTTTTTTGGACAGTTGGTCACCTGCTGGCCAAGGGGTACGATTTAATGATTTGAAACCTCTTTTGTGAGAAGCAGGACACATATACCTCCATTTTGATGTATTTTTTATGGCTGTGGAGTGAGATTTGTGGGCGTGGGAGCGATATATTCCAGCGAGGTTCTGTCGATCAGAGAGGAGCTGTCCACTCTAGTGATGACATCATCACTCTAAACTCTCCAATACACACCCATTATAAGCCTGAAAATTTGCTGAAAACCACAAGGTGCATAAAGCTAAATTGTGGAAAAACTGAAGGAGATAGCACAAAAAAGTCAATACAGCATATTTAGAGGAGAGGATTGTGAACATTTTAAAGCAAAAATGAGGTCTGTAGGTGAAAGTATGCTGAAGTTATAAGGCTGAGAAGGTGGAGGAGTAAAAGGTAGAATTTGAAGATTTCCCCATTCATTTCAATGGGAAAAATTTTGCACAAAAAGTCAAAAATATCAAAAAGTATAAGGGTAGAAAAGTAAAAAATAGACCCCATAATGTCCTGAAGGAGTGGAATAGTTTAAAGTTTGAACGGTTGAAATCGGACAAAGTTTGAAGGAGGAGAAGCGTTGCAAAAAAGGGACGGAAGAATAATAATAATAATAATAATAACTAGAAAAATTGCATTTCCTTGCAGAAAATGCGTGGAAATGCTGAGTGCTGAAAGCTGAAAAAGCAATGCTAAACTGCCAGTAATAAATGGAGAAGGTATAAATGAAAAAACTGTTAAAGGGGTGAAGTGTTATAAGCGAATGAATGTTTCAACCGTAACAGAACTGAAGAAGAAGATGATGAAAAAGAGATGAGTTGTATGGATGTAAAAACACTGGGAGAGGTAAACCAGTAGCTGTATGAATATTCAAATTGCTAAAGAACTGAACTTGAACATTACAGAAAATATGGTAAAGAATTTTAAAGATGGCTGAAAAGGCCTTCATGTTGGAAGAAGTAGAAATGATTGTAGATGAGAAATGAATATATTACACAAATATTTTTAATTTAAAATTTGAATCAACTTGAAAATTCAAATTGAGTTTTTACATAAGTAAAACCAAAATAAAGAAAAAAGAAAAATATTTTTGTCAATTCTTTAACATTTTGTGAGCAATGAAATGATTAATCATAAAATATAAAAAAATAATTAAAAAAAAAACATCAAAACATAAACACATAAAGAAATAGTGCTCCATAGTGCCTTAAATCAAATTATAAACAATTTGTTTGTGAACAGGTTTTGGAAGCAGAAATCTTTACATGGGTGACCAATCTGTCTCTTAAGCTTAAGGTTTTAAGATTGTAGTTGCTGTGATTGTTGATGGACAAAGGTATCACATTTTCAGTTGTTTCTAAAATTGTTTAGCCCAATCATTATAGGCTCTTCACACAGTTGTTAGACTGAGGCTAACACCCCATTATTTACTGGATTCAAACTCCAGCAGCCCTGTACCCACATTCACCTCTTTTCTTGTGTTTTCGGATTACTAAGCCTTAACAAAAGTTGGCTCATAAAATTTGTCATGGCCCATTGAGCCAAGTCCTGTGTTGTGGGCTTTAAAAACAGACCTTGAAATTTGATTTCAAAGTCTGATACAGGACTGTTATGTGTGTTTTTAAGGGTTTAGATTAGCCTAAGACTAAGTTCGCACATCTGAAAAACCTTTATACCTATACATTAAAAAAAGATATGAAAATGGTGACTAAAATCGTTAAAATTGTTACTAAAATCGGTCAGCAGTATTACAAAGTATTGCAAAGTTATCCAGGCTTGTGGAAATATACAGGCAAAGTAAGGTGAAAGGCATATGAATTAAATACGGCATTGTAGTATTTTTTAAAGCTAACTGCAGTGAAATGTGGGCCCTCTCATGTAGAAAAAAAGAAAATTATAGAATAATAAATGATTATAATAATAAAATTAAATGATATGAAACTGAAACATTAAACAAAATCTAAAATGATCAGATTAAAAAGTAGATTTGATAACTTGAAATAAATTGATGTAATGTATTGGTCCACCTTACCACCAAAAGGCTTTTCACAGTAGACCAAGGCTAGTACTGTCATCAGCTCATTGTAGTGGACTGACAATCTGGTCAGCAAAAATAACTCAGCAGTTTACTGTACAGTGTAGTACAGAAGTCTATTACAGAAATTAAAATAATTTTTTTAATTAAATCTAAATTTAAAATTTAAAATAATGTGGAGGGTAAGGTAGAGAATGCAAATGCAAAAGGTGCAAAGTTATCCAGGCTTGTGGAAATATACAGGCAAAGTAAGGTGAAAGGCGTATGAATTAAATATGGCACTGAAGTATTTTTTATAGCATGTATTGGTCCACCTTACCACCCAAAAGGCTTTTCACAGTAGTTAGACCAAGGCTAATACTGTCACCAGCTCATTGTAGTGGACTGACAATCTGGTCAGCATTTTACATCCCAGTGTTTTCTTATCCAAACATTCACACTACTTGTCTTACTGAAATGCTGGGTTGTCTTCATGTTGATAGTTTCTTTTTAAAAAGTTTTCTACTATGGAGAATTACATTTTAAGGATAAGCATAAAACTTTGTTCCTCTATGAAATCCCTTCACACAGCTTGTTTAACCAAGCCCTGTGTTTGAGGATTGTGACGACAACCTTCAGCAGGGATTGTTTCACACTGTAGTGCTGGGATCACTGCTGTCCAAAATATTAGCCCAAGACTAAGCACACGTGAAAAATTTCAGTGTACCTACCAGCTGAAACCCAAAGTACATCATTTATTTCTAAAACACGTCTTCTCTTGTAGGTAAATTTGAGGGATATTGTGAGCATATTAAAACGAGAAATTCAGCTGCCTGCAACAACTGAAGTAACTGGTATTTTTTCCCTTCATCAGTGTTGGTCATCTTTTGATATAAGGACAGATACACAGTAAAAGGGGAAGAAAACACTAAAATAAAATAGAACATAAAGTCCAAGAAACATAAAGGAAACTTAAAATATTAACAGATATTGACAACCGATCACTTAATGTAGAAAACAGGATTCAAAAGAATACAAGAGTAATAGTTGTCCTGTCCTAAAGACAATCAGTCAGTTCCTCATGTGAGTACTGTGTTCTGTCTGGGCACTTTTTTTCAAAACCAAAAGCAGAGCCCGGTACAGTTCAGAGTGAAGGTTTAGAGTGAGGTAATGATTTGACCTTTGACCTGTGGTTGTAGAATCGCTGTGTGCAGTTATCAGTGTTCGAGTTGACAGCATCATTGGAGTTAGAGGCAGGAGGAGGAGAGGTCTGAAAAAAACAAACAAAATCCCCTTCACTTTAACTATGTAATCCTGTGCTAACAGTAATTCTGTGCTTTTCTATGTTGGTCAAACATGGTTATTGTTATGGGGCAAGGAAATACACCGTTACCTCAGGGAAACTTTAAAGCTGCAGTAGAGATAAACTGATGATCTGAATGTGATGACATCTGCTGCAGCTTGCTTCACAGGACTGCAGGACTTGAAGGATCACCATTAGTAGGACTCTGCTGAGCTGCACTAGCTACACCGTGGATGAACAGACAGTGACTTGAAGTGGGAGAATGTAGCTGGTTCAAAACTGGAAATAAACAGAAACATTTGTGTTGATAATCTGTGAAACTAAACATATTGAATAAATACACACATCATTACAATGAATACCTTCAGCACTGCAGCAGAGCAAAAAATATTTCTGTCCAGAGCAACTTCACCAGGTCTGCAGCAGCAAAGCTTCGTCACACAGAGAGGCTCAAGGCTCAGGGTGGCTGCATGATGTCCACCTTTGGTGTGTTCAGCTGTCTGAGTGTCTAAGCTGTTCTTCCTCTCTTAACTGGCTTGAAGAAGACCTGGGAGAAAACACTGCTGTTAAAGACGATGGTATCAGCAGAGCTGTACAATAGCATCACAAGCATTAATACAGCAGCTAAGATTACTAAGAAAAATAAATGAACACAAGTTCACTAAGACATTACCTCAGACTTTCTTGAAGAGGGGTTTATCTCTTGGAGGTTCAGCAGGAACGAGCCAAGTGAGTGACAGGTACTACAGCATCAGTTCTGCTTCAGTCTGGTGTCTGGTGGTCCTTGAGAGCTGCTTCAGGACATCTGGAGCACAAGCAGGTAAAACACATGTTTGTGTAGTCCATGAGAGAAGGGTCCCGGTGGGTGCTGCAGTCTGTCCAGCACAGTGATGATGGTTGTTGAGAGCAGCAGGGGGATGGTGTGGAGGATGTCATCTCTTCTTCACCTCTGACCAAAGACTGGGTTAAACAGCAGGTAGACTGTGTCTTTGAGTGGTCCAAAGTGATGTTTTTACTTCTGGTTGACGGTTTGATAATTTTTTTCTGCTCATAAGTGAGCTAGTTAGGACAGCACTAATGGTCAGGACAAAGATGGCAGAGACAACTGAAGAAGAAAAAAAAAATACCCAAACAAAAGGAAACTTAGCTTTACTCTACTGCATCCACAGGTGATGCGTTTACTTTTGGTTGACAGTTTGATAATTTTTTTCAGTTTACAGTGAGCTAGTCAGGATAGTACTAATGGGGGTCAGGTTAAAGATGGCGGGGACAACTGAAAAAAAAAAATAATAATAATAATAAAAAATTAAAACTAAAAACATACCCAAAGAAAAGGAAACTTAGGTTTGCTCTAGTGTACTTACAGCCACCCATGCTAAGAGAGTGGTGTAAAGTTGGGTGGAGAAAAGGGGGGTTTCAGCTGGTAGGTAACAGAACATCAGAAAGTGTGTGTTCATTAGGGAACACACACTTTCTGATGGAGGTTTTTAATTTTAGCTGCTGTATACAGTATTGTACACAGCAGCTGAGAGTCTTGGCCTGTGCATTTATCAATCCGCACCCACCCTCCCTATGTCCAGTCAAGTCAAGTTAAATGGATTAACTTGACTTGACTGGACTTGATAAATGCACAGGCCAAAAATTGTCATTTATAACATTTGAATAGTTGGAAAATTTTACAACCTGAAAAATATTTTCTTTCTAAAAATTCTGAGCCATAAAAATATTTTTTGCACTAGTAAAATTTACAATGACCAAGCACATTTCAACAATCTGTACTGAAAATATGAGCATAACATTAGCCACAGCTTCTGTAGTTTGTCTTTTCCTTAATAGTACTTTCCTCTATGACCTGTTGGATGAAATGACACAGTAAGTGGCGTTGTGGTAACTGTAGTACGTCTGCATGATACCTGAGGAGAGACATAGCTGAGGTCGTGAGATGAAGATCAGGTCCAGCAGTGTGTTCTTGTCCGTTGTAGCAGCAGTGATCAGTTGACCATATCCCTTGGACTGAAAGAAATCCAAAATTGGCTTACTTGCATTAGAAAAGAGATTCTCATTGAAGTCGCCACAGACGATGATGGGATGACAGTCCATGATCTCAAGTGAGTCCAGAAGGCTTCCCAGATTGGACAGGAATGATGGCACACTGTAGTCTGGAGGTCTGTACACAGCTGCAATCAGAGCACTTACAGGAGATTCAACCTTCAAAGCCACAAACTCGAGGTCAGTCACATTATTCAGGTACTGTTTCTCCACAACCTGCAAATGGTTTTTCACATAAACAGCGACTCCACCACCTCCTTTACTGGCCATCTGTGGAAAGTTAGTGTAGGACAAATGTCTGTTGCGTTTGAACATGGTGTAGCCCTCAAACTGGAGACTGTCTGCCACAAAGGAGCCCTGTAGGTGAGTTTCTGTCAGACACAAAACATCTGCAAGACACAGTTCATGATGGCTTTTGATGTCATTCACATGAACAGGTAATCCTTCGGTGTTGTGATGAATGATGCTCACAGTGTCCTGTCTGCTGAGAGAATGCTGGATCTGGAGAAAAGGCATGAGGTGATCAAAGTTAGCTTGCGTCATGGTCTCCAAAGATACAGTGACTGCAGGGTTAGCATGGATTTTACTCTCATCCAAATCAAGCATGTACAGGCCGCTGAGAGAGGTCACTCGACTGATAGCTACGTAGGCCATGCCGGGCTCAAAAATGTGCTTCAGAGAGACAACAGTTGATTTTCTGGTCATACCTTGAACCTTGTGTATCGTGCATGCAAAGGCAAGTTTCACAGGAAACTGTCTGCGTACCACTCCTTTCTGTTGCAGAGCCTCCTCAGATCTCTCGATGTACACAAGATTGTCTCCTCTAGTACGATAGCTCCTGCCAGCTGTTTCATCATCCATCCTGAGACCAAGCATAGTGACAAGAGTAGAACTGTTGTTTTCAGAGCTTATGAGACGGCCTACTGTAGCAAATGATCCGTTCACCAATCCTTGAGACACATCAATGTTTCTGGTAAGCATGACTCTAGCACCTACTGCAACATCTAGTGTGTCAGGTAGATCATTTCTGCTTCCATGACATGGTGCACCTTGTCTTTTCATGTGTCCAGTGTGTGGGTCCTTTTTAAAGTCATCTGCATCAATGGTGGTGATATCAGAATGGAGCAGAGATAGTGTAGCAGAGTTGTGTTCTGCGACTTGTTTGTTGGTAGCAAAAATGTGCAGCACATCAGAGGGACACAGTTGTGGTTCAGTGACACGCTGTGACAGCAGAGTTCTGTCAGCTTCAGAAAGCTCATCTGACCTTGTTTTCACACGGAGTCTGTTCAGCATCTCGGCAAAAGTTTTGTCATCCTTCTGTCGCATGATCTCATCTAAAGTGATCACCTGGAAGTTGTCTCTCCAGAGGTCAAGCTCACTTGGATCATAGACACAGAGTGGTTTGGACTGTCGCACAGGCGGTAGCTGGTAAAAGTCTCCCACAGCAATGACTGACATTCCTCCAAAGGGTCTGTGGCTGCCTTTAATCTGTTTCAGTCTCACATCCACATAGGCAAACAGTGGCTTTGACACCATGGAGATTTCATCAATGATGATGATTTCAGCGTTTAAAAGCTCACACCTGATTTCATCAAGTTGGTTCCCAAGACCTTGAAAAGGAGGTTTCAAACTTCTGGGCAGCTTGAGGAGAGAGTGCAGTGTTGTTCCAGAGATGTTAAAGGCTGCAGTTCCAGTGAAAGCAGTCAACAGCACAGTCGGGTTTGAGATGTCAGCTTCCTCAGCACGTGTAGGTAGTGTTCTCAGAATCTTTGATGCTTCTGAATGAATGCATTTAATGAGATGTGACTTTCCAGTGCCAGCACCACCATTGATGTAGTAGAAAAACTGCTCTGGTTGTCGTCCACAGACTCGTTTTATGCACCAGTCTCTCACTGCATAGAACACACATGCCTGTTTCTGGTTCAGACTCTGATACATTTGTCGTAACCGTGTGGGATCGATTGTAGGGGGCTCTCTCATGACTCTGGCCTCTGTAGCAGCATTTGCTTGTCTGCTGTAATCCGGTACATCCTCTTGGACATTTTCACACTGTCTGGCATCCAGTTCATCGATACACTCCAACCTCACCAGTTCAGATTCAGGTGCCAAATTACACCATTCATCGACCACACCTCTGTTCTGTTCAAAGTCCTCGAGAGCAGAGTCAATTTCCTCACTGTTTTTTTCATATCTCTCTCGGTTTCTTTTCACGATGAGTTTCACACTCAGGGGTCGGTCAGAATACGGCAGCTGAACCACACCTCTCTCATAGAATGACTCATACGTGGGAAAATATGGTCTTTTCAGCTCATCGTCTGATCTGTATGGAAGATACAGTCTAAGCAATGTGCCGTAAAACTGCTCAGGGTATTTCTCTTTGGATATGCGGCGATACCTGATGACAGCAGCGTTGTCACTTTCTCGTCTCTGTATAAAGCCTAGTTCATTCAGCAAAGGTACCACTTTCTTGCCCTTGGTCTGTTGTCCATACACCAGTCTGCAGGTAGAAGCAAAATCAGCCATGCACATCTCTTCAAACTCTGGTGATTCAGGTCTGGATTTGTACTTGTCTGTTAAGGATGTCATCCACACATTCAAGCTGTCTGGTGTTGTGTTGTCAAGGCTTGACACAGGCAGACTCATTTTCACTGGGTTGTCATCAGTTGGGACAAAAACCACACTGCGTGAACTCTTTTTCATGTTCAGTGAAGTCACTCGGGCAACAGCTTCTTGTGCTGATACTTCTCGCTTTTTGGAATACGCCTGCATGACCGCTTTCATTTCATCACATTCATTGACACATTCTCTGTCGGAGTTCTGAATGAGTGTTTGCAGGTACTGGCTCACAGAGTTCTCACTTTTACACATGTACGTACATATGTAATGGATCAGACTGTAGTAGCTGAGAATGAACTGCACATCAATGTTTGCATCCCAAGCTTTGAGCAGGTGAGGGTTGTAGGTGTTTACCCAGCAGTCTTTTGGCTCACGCTTCAGAATGATGTTGCTGGACTGACTCATCACATTCATGTGTTTCTCATACTCATCAGCGGTTAAGTCACAGACGGACAGGAGCTGTTGAAAACTCATGGATTCAGTTTGTGTCTCATTCAGCAGCTGATTCAGTGGTGCAAGTTTCTCTTTGGCTCTCTTAAGTCTCTCTGACTCCTCATCATCACCCACAGGTCTTGTTATCATTGTCTGTCTGGAGGGTGGTTTTGGGAATCCAAATCGGCATCCAGAACTTGCACTTTTGAAACATGTCTTTGAGTGGTTCTTACTGTGTATTTGCACTTCTTTGACCTTTTTGTACAGTTCAGGCTGTTTATTTGGGTCAGGGAGCTGAGCAGAGATGTGTTTGGACACAAAGTCACACACAGTTTTGTCAGAGTCTCTCTCAAACACAGGTGCACCTTCTACCCACAAAAGACCATGTATATGAGGACTTCCTCTGTGCTGAAACTCGAGACGCCAAAAGAAGTCAAAAACTTTGCCCAGGGGTTGTGCAGGAGACATGATCAGATCTCTGTACAGTGCTTCAACACGCTTATCAAACATGCGCATCGTTGTCACAGGATTGCTTCTCAGAATGTCACACTTTGTGGACCAGTCGAGCTCTTCAAAATTCACCTCCTCACCTTGTTGTGATTTTATTGCAATAATCACCTCAGGCCAACGCATTTCTGCTGCAGAAAATGTGACAAAGAAAGTAGGACTGCCCAACTGTCTGATCATAGCAAACAGATCTTTTGTAGTTTTGTCCCAGTAGGCTGGTGTTCCTCTGAGCGGCTGCATAAATCTGATAGCATCTCTGTTTCTCACCAGTCTCTCCACTTCGTATTTGTCTCTCAACATTCTGGATGTTATTTTACGTCCGTCTCTGGTCAAAGGTTTGCCTTTGCGTAACTGTATGGACATGCTGGAGGTAGCCAAGTGTATTTCAGTCACAAACTGTGCAAAGAACAGGTAGTTGGTATCTTTGGCAAAGCGATCATCAACACCAAAGAGCCTTGCTTTAAAATAACTACTGGGTGATAGTTTCATTGGTCTGTTTTCATCCAGTGTATTCTCACCAGTGGGAAACTGAACAGGGAACGCCATGGCCTCTAGTTTGGGAGTTTTGAAAAAACTGACTGGATTGTTTCTCTCTGCTGGAGCTACTGAGTATGTAGAGTCACTGAAACACAAAATCTCCTCAGAAACATCACGTGGCTGAAGGCACGACTCCAAAACAACACCACCATTATGCACGTCTGAATCCTGTTGTTGTGTCTGATCATCATTGTCCTGGGTCTGACTTTTATCACACAGCTCTGTGTTGTCGTCCTCAGTTTCAACATTAGTTTCAGCCTCATACATGGCAGCAGCCTCAATTCTATCAATCTCCATCAAATCCTCATCATCATAGTCATCATCATTCATTGTGTTATCATCATCATCCTCATCCTCATCCTCATCACCATCATCAGGAAGTGTGGGGTCACATAACTCCTCCTCATCTCTAATAGTGATGTCTTCATACTGGGGGTGTATCTCTTTCAGTTTATGCAGGGCCTGCACTAGCTTGGACCAGGTAACAGTCTGAAACAGATGGTGACCTCTGTAACTCAAACGTCTCTTCAGTTTTACTCTCATCACCTGAGACTCATTTCTCAATCTGGGTAGAGCCTGAATTGTTTCCTGGACTTCAGAGGGAACACATACAACATTACCATGTATAGCTCGCTGTCTGCCTTTGGGAAGAGGAATGATTTTGGCAAATGTTATGCACTTTGCTATCAGATGTCTCTCCAGTATGTTGAGGTCACACAGTTCAGGTGGTATGTCAGCAAGCTCCAAGTTGTTTGCTATGGCAAGTTTGGGCATGGCTCCATTTTTCAGATGGTCATGGCAGGTGTGACAAATCCACTCAGTCTTTCTCTCATCAGGGACAGTGCAGTGATTTCTGCAGTCATCATTACAATCATGGACGTACTGACCTTTGAGACAAGCTGAAACCATGATTGGATTTTTCACATAGTTGGACCTCTTGCACTTTTGCACCTGGTTTGGAAATGAGGCTTTGTGGCAAACTGTGCAAACATGGGTGGGACCAGCTTTAATGTGTGATCGGAAATCATTGATGGCACTTTCAATAAGTGGGTTTTCACTCTCTCTGTCAGTCTCACATGTTTGTTTACTTATCCGTTTGTATTTCTTTGATATTTTCAATGCACACCTCATTTTATGCATAGTCCTGTATGCAATATTTGTCTTGTACCTGTCTCGCATCATTTGTCTCATCAGCTGTCTGTGTCGGTGACAGAATATTTCATCATTTGCATATCGATGATTGATATATAATCGCTGTCTTTGCCTGAAATTAACATCCTCTGAGTATTTTTTCTGAAATATTCTTTTGTCTGCCTTTGAAATCAACATTTTCTCCATATTTTTTCCTGAAATATTCTTTTTGTCTGCCTTTAAAATCAATATTTTCTCCATATCTTTTCCTGAAATATATTCTTTTTGTCTGCCTTTAAAATCAACATTTTCTCTGTATTTTCTTGTGATATATTCTTTTTGCTTTAGTCTGAAGTCTGTGCTTTCTCTATATTTAGTTGTGATCTTTTGTCTTTTCTTTGTCTGTATCTCAGGATTTACAGAATATTTGTTACTTGAATAAGACTTTTTCTTTGCTTTATATGTTTCATCCTTGGCATACTTTTCTCTCTCTTCCTTTTTTATCCTCTTTCTTTTGTGATGTCTTTCTAGATCTCATTAGTCTCCTCTTAAATTTCTTTTTTTGCTGTTTGCTCAATTTTGACAGTTTAGTGGAGATGTCATGGAGGACATTGTCACTGGTGACAGGGATATTTATTAATGGTTGGTCAAATTTGATTGTGTCTCCTGAGTTTCCTCTAATGTGACAGGATTATTGCTGATTTGACCTGGTTGATGAGCTTGTGTTTCCATCAAAGTTGAGACTTTCTGTGATGTGTCATCACTTACAGTAGTGTTCATCTCCAAAACGAGAGATTCAGGACCAGTTAATGTGACAGAACACTGGCTGAAGTTGATCAGTGGTTCTGGTTCAGTTTCCATGTCATGCTTCAGTGTTTTCATGGACATCAGTGTTCATCTGTGGGCACTTGTGTCATCATTTATCACAGTGGTTGTGACAGAGGGACTTGTGGACGGACTTCCTGTGGCTGGGATAGCATCACTTGGGTTCACATCACAGAACACAACTGGCTTGAGCTCATAGTGACAGGACGCTGCTGTGCCCAATATGTGGTGATACCTGTTGAGCCTGGCAATCATGTCACTGAGGCGTGTGAATGTTACCATGACAGCGGTACCAGGAGTAGGTGTGGCCTTAAGCAGAGGCAAACCGTTAGCTGTCCTAGCATGTGGGTCAAAGAAACCGTACCTGCCATCTCTGGTTCTGAAAACTGCAATGCACAGTGAAGTCATTAGCAGCAAAGCATACTGCACATCTGATAATAAGCAGCTCAGTCCTGATCTCGAGGTCCAGAAAGGTATCAACAGCTCCAGGATCCGGATCTCCAAACGTACCGTATCTAGACAGCTGTGACTTGTCAAAAATCTGCGTGTGTCTGCGTGCAGGAACCTGTTTAGGGAGCTCATCGGTTGTCAGATGGGCGTGATCAACAGTTTTTCTGATTTCTCTGTACATCACATCACCTTTATCCAAAACACGGTCCAGATCTGCTCTGGTGATGTGTTCTCTCTCATACAGGAATGCTAGAAATGTCAGTGAGTTACAGGTGCACTGCTGGTTTCTGGATTGGCCGTATTTCAGAGATGCTTGGCTGCGTGACGCACAGACGTTTTGTTCACCTGACTGATTAACAGCGTTAACATTTCTTACCTGAGAAGAGCCTGATACAGACTGATAATTACTGTGGTTTCCCTTCTTAACAGTGTCTGCATGTGATACCTGGGTTGAGCATGGCTTTTCAGTTTGGGCTATGTAGTTCACCTGATGAGAGTTAGACGGACCTGCTGCAGGTGACTCACTTACACGTCTCCTCTTTAGCACGTCTGCATAAGATACCTGTGGTTGACATGATGCATTTTCACCTCCCTGTTTCACAGCATCAGACACTTCAGACCTCTTTACCTCTCCACTGCTCTGAGGAACACCATCTGCTTGTCCAGTACTCACACAGTCAATATCATGAAACCTCTGCCAGCGCTGGCTTGCAGCCTGTGACTTCTTACTCTTCCTGGGCATTGTAACTGTTCTTTCACAACAATGTGTTTATGCAACAATTAAAAGTTACTGATAAGCACCAGTATAGACAAAAATGCTTTATTTCTTCAAGAGGACGTTATTTACAGCTCTTATAGTCTCCAAAAAAATCTAATTTATAACTGTGTGTATACCAACAATAGTTTATGAAATGTTTTCTAAGGAAATCCTAGGCAAGAGTATGTAAATGTTTTAAGAAGAAACACAAATCAACAATTTTTTAATCTTAGAACTTTGTGCTTGAAATACTATGCAACTCAAATATTCTATATAAAACGTGTTTTTATGTTCTTTCAAAGTCAGGTATGCAGATGTGGTGTAGCTGACGACACGTCTTCTGGCGAAACTCTGGATTCACAGACAGGAGAGGAGGACCTAGAACAACAATCAGACTTGTGCAAAATTAGGGATTTTTCAAAATAGCAGTTGTATTAAATGTACTTCCGTTTCAAAAGTTTTGACTCAAAGAAAGGTTGCTTGTTTCAAAAGGTTTCTCAAAATAGGTTCTCAAAATAGGTTCTCAAAATAGGTTCTCAAATGTTCTGCAAAGTTCTGAAAAGTTCTGCAAAGTTCTGAAAAGTTCTGCAAAAGTTCTGAAAAGTTCTGCAAAGTTCTGAAAAGTTCTGCAAAGTTCTGAAAAGTTCTGCAATGAGTCAGAGTGGGATAGAAGGGGGATAGAAAGACAGAGTTGCTTTTCAATCAGACAGAGCGGTAGAGGAGACAGGAAAGTCAGAGCGTCCAAAACTTAGCCAGAGGGATAGAAGAAAGGGGGACACAAGACAGAGTGCTTTTCAATCAGACAGAGTGGTAGAGGAGACAGGAAAGACAGAGTGACCAAAATGATAGGGGAGAGTGGGGAGACTGGACAGGATACCTGTAAGACACAATGGAAACAAACATTAATCCCTTTTTATTAAAGAAATAAAATAAACCAACATCCACCCAAAGCTAATGGCATCATAATGTACTTTTACTCAACCCACCAAGTGGCTGTCCTCAATTATACATCTATCAAAAGTCAAGTTGAGTCAAAAGCTGGAAGTGACCATTGTCTTGTTCGATAACCCTTCAAACAAATTAATAAGGACTAAAAATCCAAAGTGTTCATAATAGTTAATTAAAAATTAATTTAAGATACAAATAACTTTATCCCCTAAGGGAAATTCAATTTTCTGTAGTCTCATTTGTCATGTCTCAAAAAGTCATCTACTATTCAAATTGTAGAGTCTGATGGCTGTGGGTACAAAAGATCTTCTGAATCTTTTTTTCCTGCAGCGAAGAGAGAGGAGCCGTCCACCACCATAGGCCTTTCGGTCCACCAAGGTGTTGTGAAGTGGGTGATCCATGTTCTCTAGAATAGCCTCCACCTTCCTCACAGTACATCTCTCCACCACATCCTCCAGTGAGTCCAACTTGAATCCAACCACAGAGCCACCTTTTTAAATTTAGGACCTCAAAGTATTTTACAAAAAGTTCTATTATCCCTGTGTATTTCAGACTCTTTACTTTAAGTTCCCTTTATAATGTTCATAACCATGTCCTGGTAAGCAAAAGTAACAATGGATTACTCTGCTGATAAAATATCATGTATTTTGGAGAAGGTAATTTCCTTTACTGTGTTTGAAGTATTCCAACAATGTAAAAAGTAGTAATGAGGCCAAGCACCTCCATGAGCTGTTAACGGAAGCATGCAAGGTACCTTAGAAGGATATACACATATCTAAAGATAGGATTAAATGAATAATAAAATAAATCGATGGCTGCATAAATAATGATTGTCTATTCCATATTAAAGAACATTAAGTTAGCTTGTTTTTTAATATGAGAGATGCACAAAAGGAGGGAATCACATTCAATTAGTAATTATTTGGATTTTCATCGTTAAAAAATTTCAACTCCACAATTTAATAGTAATAAATTGCTTTCCAGGGATTGGAAATGAAATGCAAATAAGTGTACTGCATATTACATTCAAGCTGTTCATTTCCAACTGTGAGTATTACATAATCAAAGGAAACAAATTGTTAAGTTAGGACATGATGAGGGGTCCATAATGTGTTGAATAGTAGCACACTGTCTTATTCATGAAAGTGTCATTCCTGTGTGAACTTACGTCGAGTCGCCACAAAGCGGTCTGCACTTGGAGACAGGACAGAGTTGGCAAAAAGGAAAATGGAAAAATAGAGACAAGAGATTTTGAGTTTAATTGTAGAAAACCAGCACATCTCACTGCATTGCAGTTTCAACTGTAATCAGCCGGCAAAATTAATTGTTATTTAAATTTGTTTGTGTTACAATGAAAATGTGTTGCAGTTTGTCAAATAAGAACATAATGTCAGGTTTTTACATGATATGTTTAAAAATGTAACAGTGTAAACATTTTTAAGTTACTTTATTTGTGAACTTACAGCTGAGTCGCCAACACTGAATAGGGCCAGCAGTAGAGATAGCATCGAGTTCAGGAGAGAAAAGACAGGGACAAAAAATAAATAAATTTAGTTGCAAAAAATCAGCATCTTATAGTTTACTGCAATCACAACTTTTCACTGTGGATCATTAGTTTTCTCATTTCTTATCAAAGTCTACAATTTGTGGCACTTGATTAGTAAAAGGATGTTACTGCAGCTCCCTTGGCCTGTAAAAGATGTTTGTTACAATGGGAGAAAATGCACAAACACAATGAAGGACCTCTTCACTTTTTACTTTCTTATGTAAGTTATTGAGGTGAAATACAAAACAGTGAAATATAATTATAAACTGCAGAGCAAAAATGTAACATTTAAGTGATTGCCCAATAAGTATATATATATATATACCATCAGGTCCATAAATATTGGGACGTCAACACAATTCTCATCTCTCTGGCTGTAAACACCACCACAATGGATTTGAACTGAAACAAACATGGTGTGCTTTGACTGCAGACATTCAGCTTTAATTTAAGGGTATTTACATCCAAATCAGGTGCACGGTGTAGGGCAAAGAAGTGGAATGTTATGAAATGGCCAAGTCAATCACCTGACCTGAATCCGTTTGAGCATGCATTTCACTTGCTGAAGATAAAACTAAAGAGGAAATGCACCAAGAACAAGCAGGAACTGAAGACAGTTGCAGTCCAGGCCTGGCAGAGCAACACTAGGGGTGAAATCCAGCGTCTGGTGTATCTATGCGTCCTGGACAGCAAAGGATTTGCAACCATATATTGAAAAGTGAAAGTTTGATGTATGATTTTTGGTTTGTCCCAATACTTTTGGTCCCTTAAAAAGTGAGAGGCACATATACAAACTGTTTTAATTCCTACACTTTTCACCTAATGTGGATGTAAATAACCATATATTAAAGCTGAATGTCTGCAGTCAACGCACATCTTGTTTATTTCATTTAAAGTCAACTGTGGTGGTGTTTACAGCCAGAGAGATGAGTATTATGCTGATGTCCCAATATTTATGGACCTGACTGTAAGCGTGAACTTACTCTTCAGAGTTGGTAGGGATTTTCGCCCAGGTCAGAGGACAAGTTGAGGCAGGAGGAGGGGGGAGAGGGAGGGAAAGAGATTTTTAATACACTAAAAAAACACTTCATTCAAAATTTATCTGAATGATTTTCTCACTTAATTATTGTCACAATCAAGATTCAGACTTTCGCCAGCAATTTTTTAAAAATTAATTTAGTAGTGTAGTATATTGTTAGCACACTATTGTCTTCTAGGAAAAAACTGTATCCCATCTATGGTTTTCATATAGGATATATCCAACAGTGTTACAGATAAATCAACATTTCAAATCAATTTAAACTCAGTACTTGAAAATGCATCATATGTTGTACATTATCTTGAATGACATGTTGTTCAACAGGATTAAGCTTAATCATTAATCCAGTTATTTTTATTTTGTTTGTTGTCAGTCTTGGTCAAAACACTTATACTTACCAACAAATGCACTGGAGCGGATGTATCTTCTGTTTGTTTGAGACAAGAAACAATACATTAGTGTTTTCTGACAGATAGCACATTAAAAACAATAGGCCTATAAAGAAAACTAACATTATTACAGTAGTTGGGCTAATTGAAAATAAACAGCTCCAACAGATCACCTGGCTGTTAGCTGCAGCTGAAAATGTCACACATGATACATACTGTATTAAAGTACTTATACCTCAGATAAAGTATCTTTGCTGTGGTGTTAGCACATCACCAATATCCAAATTAACAGCTTGCTATCAAAGGTAAATTAGGTACAGTAGAAGGTGAAGTTCAGTAGCAGCCAGCAAGGCAGAGACAGACCAGGAGCAGGTTCACCAACTTCAAGGCAGCTTACTCTCCATCCATTAACTCAATATTAAGATAAGAACTTTATAGATCCCTAAAGGGAAATTCAACTGGAATATACTTATTAATTGGAACTTGGTATTGTTAAACATTAAATACTGAATTAATTTTATGTTTTGCAATGTAAATATCTCTATCATCCCCATCATGAATAAAACCTTCAATAATAGAGGACCATCTAGGTCCATTCTGACACATAAAAAAAGGAAAACCACTCACATTTGTGCTATACCTGGATGCTTGCTAAATGCAGCCTATATTTTAATACATCTACAATGGCTGATAAAAAGTGACCAGGAGCTAAACAGCTGACGTCTCCAGACCAGTTCCCCAGCAATGACTCAGTCACAGTAATGAACTGAACCTGTAGCAATGGCGCTAGCGTCATTAGTTAGCTAGTTAGTCAGTTAATACTTGAAATTATGAGTATTCTTGTCAGTCCCATTGTCAGTAAACTCCACAGCCTGTACATCATTTGGCATGCTTTATAGTACCACAGCGGCTTACGTATTCACTTTATTTTGTGCTCAGCTGGTTAATGATTCAGCCTCACAGCTGAAGGTATGTTAGCTTTAACGTTAGCTCGACGCTAGCGGCGCTAGCTCGACGGCGACGCTAGCGGCGCTAACTCGGCGCTAGCGACGTTAGCTCGACGCTAGCGCCGCTAATTCGACGCTAACAGCGTTAGCGTACGCTTTTTCAACTCATTATCTCGACCACTTCAATCATGAATGAACCTTCATTGATTATAACTCAAACCAGTGCCATTTGAAACGTTAAATCACCGTTTGTCGTGTTCAGAAGTTAGAGAGACTGTGCTCTGACTCACCTTCGTCGAGGTCGGAGAAGGATAGCGCGAGCCACCAGTGGGTCACGGTATTAATGTTTGAGGCGTTCAGGGACACTCGGAAATGTCAGACTTCACACGACGGAAAGGCAGTGGTTCAATCAATTCATTTTAATTGTTTTCTAGTACTAATAGTAGCAAGACTAGTTGAAGTAGAAGTGATGTAAGTAGTAGTTGTAGAAGTGGAAGTGGGATTTTGTTTGAAGAATTGAAATATGCATGAATAGTAAAAATGATTTAAAGTGGGGAAAATATAACTAATAAAAAATCCTAAAGTATTAGAAAGGTTTGAAGAATCAGAGAGGTTTGAATAAGAGTGAGTTTAAATTTGTTAGAAGAATTGAATAATGCATAAATAATGAGAATGATTTTAAATTAAGGACAATTTAAATGAATAGAAATCCTCTGTAGACTCCATAATGTCCTCAATGAGCAGAATTTTTGAAGCCCTAAATGTGTCTGTATCTCAAAGTTTGTGAGAGAAGATAGGTGGTGAAGCAGACACATGGTCAAAGTGTGTTCAGGTCTCATAGACAGAGAGAGACTCATGCATGCACATATTTACTGTGTGTACTGAAGGTCTCATAGAGAGAAAGAGGCTGACGCACACACATGGCTGAGTGTGTGTGTGTCTCGTTAATGATTGCATCCTAAACAGCTGTGAGATCAAAGGCATTAACTGACCTACTGTTTGAATGAGAAGCAGCTGAACTGCAGAGGATTTAGAGGCTCTGAACTTCTTCACATAGCGTGATTTCCTTAAGTCCCAGAATGAAAATAAGAACATCGTACGAATCCTCCGCCCTTCATGAACACAATGATGTGTTTTTCATGTCTGTACTTCGAAAAATGAGGCCACAACAGCGAGTTAAAAAAGTCTGAGCCTGAGCGATGATCCGGATTTTCTTGGAGAAAAATAACATTAGGGTCAATGGGAGAGATTTCCGCCTTTTTTGGACAGTTGGTCACCTGCTGGCCAAGGGGTAAGATTTAATGATTTGAAACCTCTTTTGTGAGAAGCAGGACACATATACCTCCATTTTGATGTATTTTTTATGGGTGTGGAGTGAGATTTGTGGGCGTGGGAGCGATATATTCGAGCGAGGTTCTGTCGATCAGAGACGAGGTCTGCACTCTAGCTGATGACATCATCACTCTAAACTCTCCAATACACACCCATTATAAAGCTTGAAATTTGCTGAAAACCACAAGTTGCTTAAAGCTAAATTGTGGAAAAACTGTAAAAGATATCAAAAAACTGAGTACAACTGTAATAGTCGACAAGTGAATGAACATTTTAAAGCAAAAATGAGGTCTCTAGGTGAAAGTATGCTGAAGTTATAAGGTCTAGAAGGTGGAAGAAGAAAGGAAGAAGTAAGATTTCCCCATTGACTTCAATGTTAAAATTTTTGCACAAAAAGTTAAAAAATCAAAAAGTATAAAGGGTAGAAAAGTGAAAAAAATAGACGCCATAATGTCCTGAATGAGTGGAATAGTTTAAAGTTTGAACGGTTGAAATCGGACAAAGTTTGAAGGAGGAGAAGCGGTCCAAAAATCGGCGGAAGAATAATAATAAGTTTAACTAGAAAAATTGCATTTCCTTGCAGAAAATGCGTGGAAATGCTGAGTGCTGAAAGCTGAGAAAAAGCAATGCTAAACTGCCAGTAATAAATGGAGAAGGTATAAATGAAAAAACTGTTAAAGGGGTGAAGTGTTATAAGTAGAAGTTGTATGAATGTTTCAACCGTAACAGAACTGAAGAAGAAGATGATGAAAAAGAGATGAGTTGTATGGATGTAAAAACACTGGGAGAGGTAAACCAGAAGCTGTATGAATATTCAGATTGCTTAAGAACTGAACTTGAACATTACACAAAATATGGTAAAGTATTTTAAAGATGGCTGAAAAGACCTTCATGTCGGAAGAAGTAGAAATGAATGTAGATGAGAAATGAACACATTGCACAAATATGTTTAATTTAAAATTTGAATCAACTTAAAAATTCAAATGGAGTTTTTACACAAGTAAAACCAAAAGAAAGAAAAAATGAAAAATATTTTTGTTAATCCTTTAACATTTTGTGAGCAATGAAATGATTAATCATAAAACATAAAATAATAATAATAATAAAAAAAACATCAAAACAAACACATAAAGAAATAGTGCTCCATAGTGCCTTAAATCAAATTATAAAGAATTTGTTTGTGAACAGGTTTTGGAAGCAGAAATCTTTACATGGGTGACCAATCTGTCTCTTAAGCTTAAGTTTTAAGATTGTAGTTGCTGTGATTGTTGATGGACAAAGGTATCACATTTTCAGTTGTTTCTAAAATTGTTTAGCCCAATCATTAAAGGCTCTTCACACAGTTGTTAGACTGAGGCTAACACCCCATTATTTACTGGATTCAAACTCCAGCAGCCCTGTACCCACATTCACCTCTTTTCTTGTGTTTTCGGATTACTAAGCCTTAAAAAAGTTGGCTCATAAAATTTGTCATGGCCCATTGAGCCAAGTCCTGTGTTGTGGGCTTTAAAAACAGACCTTGAAATTTGATTTCAAAGTCTGATACAGGACTGTTATGTGTGTTTTTAAGGGTTTAGATTAGCCTAAGACTAAGTTTGCACATCTGAAAAACCTTTATATACCTATACATTAAAAAAAATATGAAAATGGTGACTTGAGAGTTATAAAAAAAATAGTTACTAAAATCGGTCAGCAGTATAACAACATAAATGTGAAACACAAAAGTATAGAATAAATGTAAAATAATGTGAAGGGTAAGGTAAAGAATGCAAATGCAAATAATGCAAAGTTATCCAGGCTTGTGGAAATATACAGGCAAAGTAAGGTGAAAGGCGTATGAATTAAATACGGCATTGTAGTATTTTTTAAAGCTAACTGCAGTGAAATGTGGGCCTCTCATGTAGAAAAAAAGAAAATTATAGAATAATAAATGATTATAATAATAAATAAAATTAAATGATATGAAACTGAAACATTAAACAAAATCTAAAATGATCAGATTAAAAAGTAGATTTGATGACTTGAAATAAATTGATGTAATGAATTGGTCCACCTTACCACCAAAAGGCTTTTCACAGTAGACCAAGGCTAATACTGTCATCAGCTCATTGTAGTCTGCTCATTTGTCAGCAAAAATAACTCAGCAGTTTACTGTACAGTGTGGTACAGAAGTATTTTACAGAAATTAAAATATATATTTTTTAATTAAATCTAAATTAAAAATTTAAAATAATGTGGAGGGTAAGGAAAAGAATGCAAATGCAAAAGATGCAGTCCTCCAGGCTTGTGGAAATATACAGGCAAAGTAAGGTGAAAGGCGTCTGAATTAAATATGGCACTGAAGTATTTTTTATAGCATGTATTGGTCCACCTTACCACCCAAAAGGCTTTTCACAGTAGTTAGACCAAGGCTAATACTGTCACCAGCTCATTGTAGTGGACTGACAATCTGGTCAGCATTTTAGATCCCAGTGTTTTCTTATCCAAACATTCACACTACTTGTCTTACTGAAATGCTGGGTTGGTTGATAGTTTCTTTTTAAAAAGTTTTCTACTATGGAGAATTACATTTTAAGGATAAGCATAAAAACTTTGTTCCTCTATGAAATCCCTCCACACAGCTCGTTTAACCAAGCCCTGTGTTTGATGATTGTGACGACAACCTTCAGCAGGGATTGTTTCACACTGTAATGCTGGGATCACTGCTGTCCAAAACATTAGCCCAAGACTAAGCACACGTGAAAAATTTCAGTGTACCTACCAGCTGAAACCCAAAGTACATCATTTATTTCTAAAACACGACTTCTCTTGTAGGTAAATTTGAGGGATATGGTGAGCATATTAAAGCGAGAAATTCAGCTGCCTGCAACAACTGAAGTAACTGGTATTTTTTCCCTTCATCAGTGTTGGTCATCTTTTGATATAAGGACAGATACACAGTAAAAGGGGAAGAAAATACTAAAATAAAATAGAACAAATAAAGTCCAAGAAACATAAAGGAAACTTAAAATATTAACAGATATCGACAACCGATCACTTAATGTAGAAAACAGGATTCAAAACAATACAAGAGTAATAGTTGTCCTGTCCTGAAGACAATCAGTCAGTTCCTCAAGTGAGTACTATGTTCTGTCTGGGCACTTTTTTTCAAAACCAAAAGCAGAGCCCAGTACAGTTCAGAGTGAAGGTTTAGAGTGAGGTAATGTTTTGACCTTTGACCTGTGGTTGTAGGATCGCTGTGTGCAGTTATCAGTGTTCGAGTTGACAGCATCACTGGAGTCAGAGGCAGGAGGAGGAGAGGTCTGAAAAAAACAAACAAAATCCCCTTCACTTTAACTCTGTAATCCTGTGCTAACAGTAATTCTGTGCTTTTCTATGTTGGTCAAACATGGTTTTTGTTATGGGGCAAGGAAATACACCGTTACCTCTGGGAAAGTTTAAAGCTGCAGTAAAGATAAACTGATGATCTGAATGTGTTGACATCTGCTGCAGCTTGCTTCATAGGGCTGCAGGACTTGAAGGATCACCATTAGTAGGACTCTGCTGAGCTGCACTGGCTACACCGTGGATGAACAGACAGTGACTTGAAGTAGGAGAATGTAGCTGGTTCAAAACAGGAAATAAACAGAAACATTTGTGTTGATAATCTGTGAAACTAAACACGTTGAATAAATACACACATCATTACAATGAATACCTTCAGCACTGCAGCAGAGCAAAAAATATTTCTGTCCAGAGCAACTTCACCAGGTCTGCAGCAGCAAAGCTTCCTCACACAGAGAGGCTCAAGGCTCAGGGTGGCTGCATGATGTCCACCTTTGGTGTGTTCAGCTGTCTGAGTGTCTAAGCTGTTCTTCCTCTCTTAACTGGCTTGAAGAAGACCTGGGAGAAAACACTGCTGTTAAAGACGATGATATCAGCAGAGCTGTACAATAGCATCACAAGCATTAATACAGCAGCTAAGATAACTAAGTTCACCAAGACATTACCTCAGACTTTCTTGAAGAGGGGTTTATTTCTTGGAGGTTCAGCAGGAACGAGCCCAGTGAGTGACAGGTACTACAGCATCAGTTCTGCTTCAGCCTGGTGTCTGGTGGTCCTTGAGAGCTGCTTCAGGACATCTGGAGCACAAGCAGGTAAAACACATGTTTGTGTAGTCCATGAGAGAAGGGTCCTGGTGGGTGCTGCAGTCTGTCCAGCACAGCGATGATGGTTGTTGAGAGCAGCAGGGGGATGGTGTGGAGGATGTCATCTCTTCTTCACCTCCGACCAAAGACTGGGTTAAACAGCAGGTAGACTGTGTCTTTGAGTGGTCCAAAGTGATGTGTTTACTTCTGGTTGACGGTTTGGTAATTTTTTTCTGCTCATAGTGAGCTAGTCAGGACAGCACTAATGGTCAGGACAAAGATGGCAGAGACAACTGAAGAAGAAAAAAAAATACCCAAACAAAAGGAAACTTAGCTTTACTCTACTGTACCTACAGGTGATGTGTTTACTTTTGGTTGACAGTTTGATAATTTTTTCAGTTTACATTGAGCTAGTCAGGATAGTCACTAATGGAGGTCAGGTTAAAGATGGTAGGGGACAACTGAAAAAAAAAATAATAATAAAAAAAAACAAAAACATACCCAAAGAAAAGGAAACTTATGTTTGCCCTAGTGTACTTACAGCCACCCATGCTAAGAGAGTGGTGTAAAGTTGGGTGGAGAAAAGGGGGTTTCAGCTGGTAGGTCACAGAACATCAGAAAGTGTGTGTTCATTAGGGAACACACACTTTCTGATGGAGGTTTTTAATTTTTGCTGCTGTATACATTATTGTACACAGCAGCTGAGAGTTTTGGCCTGTGCATTTATCAATCCGCACCCACCCTCCCTATGTCCAGTCAAGTCAAGTTAAATGGATTAACTTGACTTGACTGGACTTGATAAATGCACAGGCCAAAAAATAAGATTTATTACATTTGAATAGTTAAAAATTGTACTACCTGAAAATGTTGAAATTAAGCCATAAAAAATTTTTTTGCACCAGAAAATTTTAAATTGCTAAAAAATTTTTAATCTGTACTAATAAAAATATAGACATAACATTAGCCACAACTTCTCTGGTTTGTCTTTCCCTTCAGAGCAGTTTCCCTTTATGACCTGAAATGACACAGTGATTGGGATTGTGGTTACTATAGCAGGTCTGCAGGATACCTGAGGCAAGACATTGCTGCAGTTGTGAGTTAAATGGATTAACTTGTCTGGACATAAGTGCAAAGGCCAAATATCATAACTTTTAACATTCAAATAGCTGAAAATTGTACAACCTGAAAAATGTTGCCTTTCTAAAAAATTCCCCCATAATTTTTTTTTTTTTGCATTCAAAAACTTACAATCACCAAACACCAAATGGGCACTGAAAAATATAAGCAGAACATCAGCTAAACCCTCTGTAGTTTGTCTTTTCCTTCAGAGCAGTTTCCTCTATGACCTGTTGGATGAAATGACACAGTAAGTGGCGTTGTGGTAACTGTAGTACGTCTGCATGATACCTGAGGAGAGACATAGCTGAGGTCGTGAGATGAAGATCAGGTCCAGCAGTGTGTTCTTGTCCGTTGTAGCAGCAGTGATCAGTTGACCATATCCCTTGGACTGAAAGAAATCCAAAATTGGCTTACTTGCATTAGAAAAGAGATTCTCATTGAAGTCGCCACAGACGATGATGGGATGACAGTCCATGATCTCAAGTGAGTCCAGAAGGCTTCCCAGATTGGACAGGAATGATGGCACACTGTAGTCTGGAGGTCTGTACACAGCTGCAATCAGAGCACTTACAGGAGATTCAACCTTCAAAGCCACAAACTCAAGGTCAGTCACATTATTCAGGTACTGTTTCTCCACAACCTGCAAATGGTTTTTCACATAAACAGCGACTCCACCACCTCCTTTACTGGCCATCTGTGGAAAGTTAGTGTAGGACAAATGTCTGTTGCGTTTGAACATGGTGTAGCCCTCAAACTGGAGACTGTCTGCCACAAAGGAGCCCTGTAGGTGAGTTTCTGTCAGACACAAAACATCTGCAAGACACAGTTCATGATGGCTTTTGATGTCATTCACATGAGCAGGTAATCCTTCGGTGTTGTGATGAATGATGCTCACAGTGTCCTGTCTGCTGAGAGAATGCTGGATCTGGAGAAAAGGCATGAGGTGATCAAAGTTAGCTTGCGTCATGGTCTCCAAAGATACAGTGACTGCAGGGTTAGCATGGATTTTACTCTCATCCAAATCAAGCATGTACAGTCCGCTGAGAGAGGTCACTCGACTGATAGCTACGTAGGCCATGCCGGGCTCAAAAATGTGCTTCAGAGAGACAACAGTTGATTTTCTGGTCATACCTTGAACCTTGTGTATCGTGCATGCAAAGGCAAGTTTCACAGGAAACTGTCTGCGTACCACTCCTTTCTGTTGCAGAGCCTCCTCAGATCTCTCGATGTACACAAGATTGTCTCCTCTAGTACGATAGCTCCTGCCAGCTGTTTCATCATCCATCCTGAGACCAAGCATAGTGACAAGAGCAGAACCGTTGTTTTCAGAGCTTATGAGACGGCCTACTGTAGCAAATGATCCGTTCACCAATCCTTGAGACACATCAATGTTTCTGGTAAGCATGACTCTAGCACCTACTGCAACATCTAGGGTGTCAGGTAGATCATTTCTGCTTCCATGACATGGTGCACCTTGTCTTTTCATGTGTCCAGTGTGTGGGTCTTTTTAAAGTCATCTGCATCAATGGTGGTGATATCAGAATGGAGCAGAGATAGTGTAGCAGAGTTGTGTTCTGCGACTTGTTTGTTTGTAGCAAAAATGTGCAGGACATCAGAGGGACACAGTTGTGGTTCAGTGACACGCTGTGACAGCAGAGCTCTGTCAGCTTCAGAAAGCTCATCTGACCTTGTTTTCACACGGAGTCTGTTCAGCATCTCGGCAAAAGTTTTGTCATCCTTCTGTCGCATGATCTCATCTAAAGTGATCACCTGGAAGTTGTCTCTCCAGAGGTCAAGCTCACTTGGATCATAGACACAGAGTGGTTTGGACTGTCGCACAGGCGGTAGCTGGTAAAAGTCTCCCACAGCAATGACTGACATTCCTCCAAAGGGTCTGTGGCTGCCTTTAATCTGTTTCAGTCTCATATCCACATAGGCAAACAGAGGCTTCGACACCATGGAGATTTCATCAATGATGATGATTTCAGCGTTTAAAAGCTCACACCTGATTTCATCAAGTTGGTTCCCAAGACCTTGAAAAGGAGGTTTCAAACTTCTGGGCAGCTTGAGGAGAGAGTGCAGTGTTGTTCCAGAGATGTTAAAGGCTGCAGTTCCAGTGAAAGCAGTCAACAGCACAGTCGGGTTTGAGATGTCAGCTTCCTCTGCACGTCTAGGTAGTGTTCTCAGAATCTTTGATGCTTCTGAATGAATGCATTTAATGAGATGTGACTTTCCAGTGCCAGCACCACCATTGATGTAGTAGAAAAACTGCTCTGGTTGTGGTCCACAGACTCGTTTTATGCACCAGTCTCTCACTGCATAGAACACACATGCCTGTTTCTGGTTCAGACTCTGATACATTTGTCGTAACCGTGTGGGATCGATTGTAGGGGGCTCTCTCATGACTCTAGCCTCTGTAGCAGCATTTGCTTGTCTGCTGTAATCCGGTACATCCTCTTGGACATTTTCACACTGTCTGGCATCCAGTTCATCGATACACTCCAACCTCACCAGTTCAGATTCAGGTGCCAAATTACACCATTCATCGACCACACCTCTGTTCTGTTCAAAGTCCTCGAGAGCAGAGTCAATTTCCTCACTGTTTTTTTCATATCTCTCTCTGTTTCTTTTCACAATGAGTTTCACACTCAGGGGTCGGTCAGAATACGGCAGCTGAACCACACCTCTCTCATAGAATGACTCATACGTGGGAAAATATGGTCTTTTCAGCTCATCGTCTGATCTGTATGGAAGATACAGTCTAAGCAATGTGCCGTAAAACTGCTCAGGGTATTTCTCTTTGGATATGCGGCGATACCTGATGACAGCAGCGTTGTCACTTTCTCGTCTCTGTATAAAGCCTAGTTCATTCAGCAAAGGTACCACTTTCTTGCCCTTGGTCTGTTGTCCATACACCAGTCTGCAGGTAGAAGCAAAATCAGCCATGCACATCTCTTCAAACTCTGGTGTTTCAGGTCTGGATTTGTACTTGTCTGTTAAGGATGTCATCCACACATTCAAGCTGTCTGGTGTTGTGTTGTCAAGGCTTGACACAGGCAGACTCATTTTCACTGGGTTGTCATCAGTTGGGACAAAAACCACACTGCGTGAACTCTTTTTCATGTTCAGTGAAGTCACTCGGGCAACAGCTTCTTGTGCTGATACTTCTCGCTTTTGGAATACGCCTGCATGACCGCTTTCATTTCATCACATTCATTGACACATTCTCTGTCGGAGTTCTGAATGAGTGTTTGCAGGTACTGGCTCACAGAGTTCTCACTTTTACACATGTACGTACATATGTAATGGATCAGACTGTAGTAGCTGAGAATGAACTGCACGTCAATGTTTGCATCCCAAGCTTTGAGCAGGTGAGGGTTGTAGGTGTTTACCCAGCAGTCTTTTGGCTCACGCTTCAGAATGATGTTGCTGGACTGACTCATCACATTCATGTGTTTCTCATACTCATCAGCGGTTAAGTCACAGACGGACAGGAGCTGTTGAAAACTCATGGATTCAGTTTGTGTCTCATTCAGCAGCTGATTCAGTGGTGCAAGTTTCTCTTTGGCTCTCTTAAGTCTCTCTGACTCCTCATCATCACCCACAGGTCTTGTTATCATTGTCTGTCTGGAGGGTGGTTTTGGGAATCCAAATCGGCATCCAGAACTTGCACTTTTGAAACATGTCTTTGAGTGGTTCTTACTGTGTATTTGCACTTCTTTGACCTTTTTGTACAGTTCAGGCTGTTTGTTTGGGTCAGGGAGCTGAGCAGAGATGTGTTTGGACACAAAGTCACACACAGTTTTGTCAGAGTCTCTCTCAAACACAGGTGCACCTTCTACCCACAAAAGACCATGTATATGAGGACTTCCTCTGTGCTGAAACTCGAGACGCCAAAAGAAGTCAAAAACTTTGCCCAGGGGTTGTGCAGGAGACATGATCAGATCTCTGTACAGTGCTTCAACACGCTTATCAAACATGCGCATCGTTGTCACAGGATTGCTTCTCAGAATGTCACACTTTGTGGACCAGTCGAGCTCTTCAAAATTCACCTCCTCACCTTGTTGTGATTTTATTGCAATAATCACCTCAGGCCAACGCATTTCTGCAGCAGAAAATGTGACAAAGAAAGTAGGACTGCCCAACTGTCTGATCATAGCAAACAGATCTTTTGTAGTTTTGTCCCAGTAGGCTGGTGTTCCTCTGAGCGGCTGCATAAATCTGATAGCATCTCTGTTTCTCACCAGTCTCTCCACTTCGTATTTGTCTCTCAACATTCTGGATGTTATTTTACGTCCGTCTCTGGTCAAAGGTTTGCCTTTGCGTAACTGTATTGACATGCTGGAGGTAGCCAAGTGTATTTCAGTCACAAACTGTGCAAAGAACAGGTAGTTGGTATCTTTGGCAAAGCGATCATCAACACCAAAGAGCCTTGCTTTAAAATAACTACTGGGTGATAGTTTCATTGGTCTGTTTTCATCCAGTGTATTCTCACCAGTGGGAAACTGAACAGGAAACGCCATGGCCTCTAGTTTGGGTGTTTTGAAAAAACTGACTGGATTGTTTCTCTCTGCTGGAGCTACTGAGTATGTAGAGTCACTGAAACACAATATCTCCTCAGAAACATCCCGTGGCTGAAGGCACGACTCCAAAACAACACCACCATTAGATATGTCTGCATCCTGTTGTTGTGTCTGATCATCATTGTCCTGGGTCTGACTTTTATCACACAGCTCTGTGTTCTCATCCTCATTTTCAACATTAGTTTCAGCCTCATACATGGCAGCAGCCTCAATTCTATCAATTTCCATCAAATCCTCATCATCATAGTCGTCATCATTCATTGTAATATCATTACCATCATCCTCATCCTCATCCTCATCACCATCATCAGGAAGTGTGGGGTCACATAACTCCTCCTCATCTCTAATAGTGATGTCTTCATACTGGGGGTGTGTCTCTTTCAGTTTATGCAGAGCCTGCACTAGCTTGGACCAGGTAACAGTCTGAAACAGATGGTGACCTCTGTAACTCAAACGTCTCTTCAGTTTTACTCTCATCACCTGAGACTCATTTCTCAATCTGGGTAGAGCCTGAACTGTTTCCTGGACTTCAGAGGGAACACATACAACATTACCATGTATAGCTCTCTGTCTGCCTTTGGGAAGAGGAATGATTTTGGCAAATGTTATGCACTTTGCTATCAGATGTCTCTCCAGTATGTTGAGGTCACACAGCTCAGGTGGTATGTCAGCAAGCTCCAAGTTGTTTGCTATGGCAAGTTTGGGCATGGATCCATTTTTCAGATGGTCATGGCAGGTGTGACAAATCCACTCAGTCTTTCTCTCATCAGGGACAGTGCAGTGATTTCTGCAGTCATCGTTACAATCATGGACGTACTGACCTTTGAGACAAGCTGAAACCATGATTGGATTTTTCACATAGTTGGACCTCTTGCACTTTTGCACCTGGTTTGGAAATGAGGCTTTGTGGCAAACTGTGCAAACATGGGTGGGACCAGCTTTAATGTGTGATCGAAAATCATTTATGGCACTTTCAATAAGTGGGTTTTCACTCTCTCTGTCAGTCTCACATGTTTGTCTACTTATCTGTTTGTATTTCTTTGATATTTTCAATGCACACCTCATTTTATGCATAGTCCTGTATGCAAGATTTGTCTTATACCTGTCTCGCATTATTTGTCTCATCAGTTGTCTGTGTCGGTGATGGAATGTTTCATCATTTGAATATCGATGATTGAAGTAGGATCTCTGTCTTTGGCGGAAATCAACATCCTCTGAGTATTTTTTCCTGAAATATTCTTTTCGTCTGCCTTTAAACTCAACATTTTCTCTGTATTTTTTCCTGAAATATAACTTTTGTCTTCCTTTAAAATCAACATTTTCTCTGTATTTTCTTGTGATATATTCTTTTTGTCTGCCTTTAAAATCAACATTTTCTCTGTATTTCCTTGTGATATATTCTTTTTGTCTGCCTTTAAATTCAACATTTTCTTTGTATTTTTTGGTGATATATTCTTTTTGTCTGCCTTTAAATTCAACATTTTCTTTGTATTTTTTGGTGATATATTCTTTTTGTCTGCCTTTAAATTCAACATTTTCTTTGTATTTTTTGGTGATATATTCTTTTTGTCTGCCTTTAAATTCAACATTTTCTTTGTATTTTTTGGTGATATATTCTTTTTGTCTGCCTTTAAATTCAACATTTTCTTTGTATTTTTTGGTGATATATTCTTTTTGTTTCAGTCTGAAGTCTGTGCTTTCTCTGTATTTAGTTGTGATCTTTTGTCTTTTCTTTGTTTGTATTTCAGGATTGACAGAATATTTCTCACTTGAATAAGACTTTTTCTTTGCTTTGTATGTTTCATTCTTAGCATACTTTTCTCTTTCTCTCCTTTTTTGATTCTCTTTCTTTTCAGATGTCTTTCCAGATCTCATTAGTCTCCTCTTAAATTTCATTTTTTGCTGTTTGCTTAATTTTGACAGTTTAGTGGAGATGTCATGGATAACTTTGTCACTAGCAACGGGGATCGTTATCAATGGTTGTGTCAAATTTGATTTTGTCTGTTGAGTTTCCTCTAATGTGACAGAAGTATTGTTGATCTGACCTGGTTGATGAGCTTGAGTTTCCATCAAAGTTGAGGCTTTCTGTGATGTGTCATCACTTACAGTAGTGTTAATCTCTGGAGTGAGAAATTCAGGACCAGTTAATGTGACAGAACACTGGCTGAAGTCGATCAGTGGTTCTGGTTCAATTTCCATGTCATGTTCAGAGTTTTCATGGACATCAGTGTTCATCTGTGGAGCACTTGTGTAATCATCTATCACGGTGGTTTTGACAGAGGGACTTGTGGACGGACTTTCTGTGGCTGGGATAGCATCACTTGGGTTCACATCACAGAACACAACTGGCTTGAGCTCATAGGTACAGGACCCTGCTGTGCCCAATATATGGTGATACCTGATGAGCCTGTGAATCATGTCACTGAGTCGTTTGAATGTTACCATGACAGCGGTTCCAGGAGTAGGTGTGGCCTTAAGCAGAGGCAAACCGTTAGCTGTCCGAGCATGTGGGTCAAAGAAACCGTACCTGCCATCTCTGGTTCTGAAAACTGCAATGCACAACGAAGTCATTAGCAGCAAAGCATACTGCACATCTGATAATAAGCAGCTTAGTCCCATCTCGAGGTCCAGAAAGGTATCAACAGCTCCGGGATCCGGATCTCCAAACGTACCGTATCTAGACAGCTGTAACTTGTCAACAGTCAGCATGTGTCTGCGGGCAGGAACCTGGTCAGGGAGCTCATCGGTTGTCAGATGGTTGTGATCACGAACAGTTTTTCTGACTTCTCTGTACATCACATCACCTTTATCCAAAACACGGTCCAGGTCTGCTCTGGTGATGTGTTCATTCTCATACAGGAATGCTAGAAATGTCAGTGAGTTACAGGTGCACTGCTGGTTTCTGGATTGGCCGTATTTCAGAGACGCTTGGCTGCGTGTCGCACAGACGCTTTGTTCACCTGACTGACTAACAGCGTTAACATTTCTTACCCGAGAAGAGCCTGATACAGACTGATAATTACTGTGGTTTCCCTTCTTAACAGTGTCTGCATGTGATACCTGGGTTGAGCATGGCTTTTCAGTTTGGGCTATGTAGTTCACCTGATGAGAGTTAGAAGGACCTGCTGCAGGTGACTCACTTACACGTCTCCTCTTAAGCATGTCTGCATAAGATACCTGTGGTTGACATGACGCACTTTGACCTCCCTGTTTCACAGCATCAGATACTTCAGACCTCTTTACCTCTCCACTGCTCTGAGGAATACCATCTGCTTGTCCAGTACTCACATGGTCAATGTCATGAAACCTCTGCCAGCGCTGGCTTGCAACCTGTGACCTCTTACTCTTCCTCGGCATTGTAGCTGTCCTTACACAACAATGTGTTTATTCAACAATTTAAAGTTAATGATAAGCACCAGTATAGACAAAATGCTTTATTTCTTAAAGAGAGGAGGTTATTTAACAGCTCTTATAGTCTCCAAAATATCTAATTTATAACTGTGTGTATACCACAATAGTTTATCAAATATTTTCTAAGGAAATCCTAGGCAAGGCTATATAAATGTTTTCAGAAAAAAACACAAATCAGCAACTATTTGTAAATCTTTGAACTTTCTGCTTGAAATAATATGCAAGTCAAATATTCTATATGAAACGTGTTTATTTTTTCTTTCAAAATCAGGGACGCAGATATGGTGGTGCTGATGACACTTCTTCTGGTGAAACTCTGGATCCACAGACAGGAAAGGAAAACCTAGAACAACAATGAGACTTTTGCAAAATTAGGGCTTTTTCCAATACAGTGGTTGTATTAAATGTACAGCTTTTCAGAAGTTCGGTTTCTCAAAAAAAGGGTTGATTGTTTACAAAGGTTTCTCAAAAAAGGTGGCTTGTTAAAATAGGTCTCAAAAAGATTTATTGCAAAGGGGTCTCAAATGATTTGTTGCAAAAGGGTCTCAAATGATTTGTTGCAAAAGGTCTCAAAGATTTATTGCAAAGGGTCTCAAAGATTTGTTTCAATAGGTCTCAAAGATTTGTTTCAATAGGTCTCAAAGATTTGTTTCAATGGTATCAAAGATTTGTTTCAATGGTATCAAAGATTTGTTCAAGGATTGTATTAGTAGCCAGAGTGGGATAGAAGGGGGATAGAAAGGCAGAGTGGCTTTTCAATCAGAAAGAGTGGTAGAGGAGACAGGAAAGTCAGAGGGACCAAAATGATAGGGGAGAGTGGGGAGACTGGACAGGATACCTGTAAGACACAATGGAAAAAAACATTAATCTTTTTTTATTAAAGACAAAATTAAATGATCCAACATCCACCCAAAGCTAGTGAGATTATAATGTACTTTTACTCAATCCACCAAGTGGCTGTCCTCAACTATACATCTATCAAAAGTCAAGTTGAGTCAAAAGCTGGAAGTGACCATTGTCTTGTTCGATAACCCTTCAATCAAATTAATGACTAAAAATACAGTGTTCATAAGAGATAATTGAAAATGTATTTAAGATACAAAGAACTTTATTTATCCCCTAAGGGAAATTCAATTGTCTGTAGTCTCACTTGTCATGTCTCAAAAAGTCATCTACTATTTAAATTGTAGAGTCTGATGGCTGTGGGTACAAAAGATCTTATGAGTCTTTCTGTCCTGCAGCAGAGAGAGGAGCCGTCCACCACCATAGGCCTTTCAGTCCACCAAGGTGTTGTGAAGTGGGTGAGCCATATTCTTTAGAATAGCCTCCACCTTCCTCACAGTACATCTCTCCACCACATCCTCCAGCGAGTCCAACTTGAATCCAACCACAGAACCAGCCTTTTTAAATTTAGGACCTCAAAGTATTTTACAAAAGTTTCTATTATCCCTGCGCATTTTAGACTCTTTATTTTAAGTTCCCTCTATAATGTTTATAACCATGTCCTGGTAAGCAGTAATAACAATGGATTACTCTGCTGATAAAATATGATGTGTTTTGGAAAATGTAATTTCCTTTACCGTGTTTTAAGTATTCCTACAATGTAATAAGTTATGAGGCCAAGCAGCTCCATAAGCTGTAAACAGAAGCATGTAAGTACCTTAGAAGGATATACACATTTCTAAACATAGGATTAAATGAATAATAAAATAAATCAATGGCGGCATAGATAATGATTGTCTATTCCATATTAAGGAACATTAAATTAGATTTTTTTTCTAATATAAAGAGCTGCACAAAGGAGGTAATCACATTCAATTAGTAATTATTTGGATTTTCATGATGAAAAAATTACAACTCCACAATTTAATAGTAACAAATTGCTTTCCAATGATTGGAAATAAAATGCAAATAAGTGTATTGTATATCACATTTAACCTGTTCATTTCCAACTGTGAATATTACATTATCAAAGGGGAAAAAAAAAAGTTTGGACATGATGAGGGGTCCATAATGTATTGAATAAAGGCACCCTGCGTTATTCATGAAAATGTCATTCCTGTGTGAACTTACGTCGAGTCGCCACAAAACGGTCTGCACTTGGAGACAGGATAGAGTTGGCAAGAAGGAAAATGGGAAAAAAAAAGACAAGAGATTTTTAGTTTAGTTGTACAAAACCAGCACATCTCACTGCATTGTCGTTTCAATTGTAATCAGCCTGCAAAATTATTTCTATTTGGTTCTGCTTTAGTTTAAATAAAGTGTTTTTTTAAATGGTTTGTGTTACAATGAGAATGTGCTGCAGTTTGTCAAATAAGGACATAGTGTCAGGTTTTTACATGATGTGTTGTAAAAAGTGTCAGTGTTACTTTATTTGTGAACTTACAGCTGAATCGCCAACAGTGAGTAGGGCCCGCAGCAGAGATAGCGTTGAGGAGTTCAGAGAAGGGAAAAGACAGAGGGACAAAAAAATAACATTTAGTTGCTCTCTTAGCTTGTAAAAATGTTTGTTAAAATGGAGAGAAATGCACAAACACAATGAAGGACCGCTTTACTTTTTAATTTCTTATGTAATTGAGGTGAAATACGCAACACTGAAATGTCATTATAAACTGCAGAGAAAAATGTAACATTTAATTGATTGCTTAATAAGTATATACAAGTGTGAACTTACACTTCAGAGTTGGTAGGGAATTTCACACAGGTCAGAGGACAAGATGATGCAGGAGGAGGGGGAGAGGGAAGAAAAGAGTTTTTTATTACACTCAAAAGAGACGCCCTCACAGCTCACTTCATTCAAAGTAATGATTATTATCAAAGTAATAGTAATTATCTGAATGATTTTCCCACTTAATTATTGTCAAAATTAAGATTCAGACTTTCCCATCAAGTTAAAATGTTTCAAATAAATGAATTTGGTAGTATAGTAATATTGTTAGCTCACTGTTGTCTACTAGGAAAAAACTGTATCCCATCTATGATTTTCATATAGCATATACAACAGTGTTACAGATAAATCAACATTTCATATCAATTTAAACTCAGTATTTGAAAAATGCATCATATGTTGTACATTATCTTGAATGACATGTTGTTAAACAGGATTAAGCTAATCATTAATCCGGTTATTTTTATTTTGTTTGTTGTCAGTCTTGGTCAAAACACTTATACTTACCAACAAATGCACTGGAGCGGATGTATCTTCTGTTTGAGACAAGAAACAATACATTAGTGTTTTATGACAGATAGCACATTAAAAACAATAGGCCTATAAAGAAAACTAACATTATTACAGTAGTTCGGCTAATTGAAAACTAAACAGCTCCAACAGATCACCTGGCTGTTAGCTGCAGCTGAAAATGTCACACATAATACATACTGTATTAAAGTATATATACCTCAGATAAAGTATCTTTGCTGTGGTGTTAGCACATCACCAATATCCAAATTAACAGCTTGTTATCAAAGGTAAATTAGGTACAGTAGACGGTGAAGTTCAGTAGCAGCCAACAAGACAGAGACAGACCAGGAGCAGGTCCACCAACTTCAAGGCAGCTAACTCTTCATCCATCAACTCAATATTAAGATAAGAACTTTATTGATCCCTAAAGGGAAATTCAACTGTAATATATTTATTAATTAGAACTTCATATTGTTAAACATTAAATACTGAATTCATTTTATGTTTTGCAATGTAAACATCTCTATCATCCCCATCATGAATAAAACCCTCAATAATAGAGGACCATCTAGGTCCATTCTGACACATAAAAAAAGAAAAAAAACACTCATATTTGTGCTGTACCTGGATGCTTGCTAAATGCAGCCTATATTTTAATACATCCACAATGGCTGATAAAAAGTGACCAGGAGCTGAACAGCTGACGTCTCCAGACCAGTTCCCCAGCAATGGCTAAGTCACAGTAATGAACTGAACCTGTAGCAATGCCGCTAGCGTCATTAGTTAGCTAGTTAGTCAGTTAATACTTGACAATATGACTATTCTTGTCAGTCCCATTGTCAGTAAACTCCACAGCCTGGACATCATTTGGCCCACTTTATAGTACCGCAGCGGCTTACATATTCACTTTCTTTTGTGCTCAGCTGGCTAATGATTCAGCCTCACAGCTGACGGTATGTTGGCTTTAGCGTTAGCTCGACGCTAGCGGCGCTAGCTCGACGCTAGCCGCGCTAGCTCGACGCTAGCGGCGCTAACTCGACGCTAACAGCGTTACCGTACGCTTTTTCAACTCACTATCTCGACCACTTCAATCATGAATGAACTCTTCATTGATTATAACTAAAACCAGTGCCATATGAAACGTTAAATCGCCGTTTGAAGTGTTCAGAAGTTAGAGCGCCTGTGCTCTGACTTACCTTCGTCGAGGTCGGAGAAGGATAGCGCGAGCCACCAGTGAGTCACGGTAGAAATGTTTGAGGCGTTCAGGGACACTCGGACATGTCATACTTCACACGACCGAAAGGCAGTGGTTCAATCAATTCATTTTAATTGTTTTCTAGTACTAATAGTAGCAAGACTAGTTGAAGTAGAAGTGATTTAAGTAGTAGTTGTAGAAGTGGAAGTGGGATTTTGTTTGAAGAATTGAAATATGCATGAATAGTAAAAACGATTTAAAATGGGGAAAATATAACTAATAAAAAATCCTAAAGTATTAGAAGGTTTGAAGAGTCAGAGAGGTTTGAATAAGAATGAGTTTAAATTTAGTAGAAGAATTGAAAAATGCACAAATAATGAGTGATTTTAAATTAAGGACAATTTAAATGAATAGAAATCCTCTGTAGACTCCATAATGTCCTCAATGAGCAGAATTTCTGAAGCCCAAAATGTGTCTGTATCTCAAAGTTTGTGAGAGAAGATAGGTGGTGAAGCAGCCACATGGTCAAAGTGTGTTCAGGTCTCATAGACAGAGAGAGACTCACGCATGGACATATTTACTGTGTGTACTTGAAGGTCTCATAGAGAGAAGGAGGCTGACGCACACACATTGGCTGAGTGCGTGTGTAGCTCGTTAATGATTGCATCCTAAACAGCTGTGAGATCAAAGGCAAATCACTGACCTATTGTTTGAATGGAGAAGCTGCTGAACTGCAGTGAATTTAGGGCCCTGAACTTCTTCACATAGCACGATTTCCTTAAATCCCAGAATGAAAATAAGAACATCGTACGAATCCTCCGCCCTTCATGAACACAATGATGTGTTTTTTATGTCTGTACTCCGAAAAATATGGCCACAACAGCGAGTTAAAAAAGTCTGAGCCTGAGTGACGATAAGGATTTTCTTGGAGAAAAATAACATTACGGTCAATAGGAGAGATTTCCGCCTTTTTTGGACAGTTGGTCACCTGCTGGCCAAGGGGTAGGATTGAATGATTTGAAACCTCTTTTGTGAGAAGCAGGACACATATACCTCCATTTTGATGTATTTTTTGTGTCAGTGGAGTGAGATTTGTGGGCGTGGGAGCGATATATTCGAGCGAGGTTCTGTCGATCAGAGACGAGGTCTGCACTCTAGCTGATGACATCATCACTCTAAACTCTCCAATACACACCCATTATAAAGCTTGAAATTTGCTGAAAACCACAAGTTGCTTAAAGCTAAATTGTGGAAAAACTGTAAAAGATATCAAAAAACTGAGTACAACTATAATAGTCGACAAGTGAATGAACATTTTAAAGCAAAAATGAGGTCTCTAGGTGAAAGTATGCTGAAGTTATAAGGCTTAGAAGGTGGACGAATAACAGGAAGAAGTTGAAGATTTCCCC